GGTATTCACTGAAATTGAAAAATTCGAAATTTTTGAAAAAGTATCAGGGGAGAATTAAAATCGAGGAGGTATTCACTGAAATTGGAAAATTTTAAATTTTTAAAAAAGTATCAGGGGAGCATGAAAATGTAGGAGGTATTCACTGAAATTTGAAAATTCAAAATATTTGAAAAATTCGAATTTTTTAATTTCAGTGAATACCAATTTCGAACGCCGAAAATTTTATCCACCCCGTCGACTAGTCCCTCTGACAGCGGGACTACTACTGAGGCAGTTACTGAGTCGGTTGACGCGCAGACCCTCCCCCCTCCATTGCGCCCTCCCTCTCTTGGGGTGCAGTACTACGAGGGTGGTGGGGGCCGTCAACCCCCAGAACTGAGCCTCTACGTTAGTCAATCCCCATTGGATGCAACCCTCGAAAAATTTAATTTCGTCGAAGATTCGCGAAAACCCCAAACTTCATTGTCTAATTATGTCTGTCCATCATTTTCACCCAACTGTTCAATAACTCAAAATTGTTCATAATTATCTCACCGATTTTACCGGATCTCCCGCGAAAAAACAAATAAACAACAAATGCATGTCGACTGTGTGCGTAGATGCCCACAGTGCAGGGGTTTCGCCTCCAAAAAATCATTCAATGGTCCAGCGATGATATTCCGTTGAAATAATCGCCAATTCCTCCATAAAATCGTCCCGACCCGTTCAACTCGACTGATTGGCACCTCGGGTGCACTTGTTTCGCCGGTTTTAGCCTTCTTTTAGTAAAAAATGTGAGGAGTAAGCGCCAAAACGTACAATAGACCTCATGACCACCGCCATCTTGGATGCGACGTAAATCGATGTGCGAGGCAATTTTTGTTCCAAAAATGTTTTTATCTCTCAGGGTTTGAAATTCATGGAAATACCCACGAATTTCACCGTAAAATTGTTGTTAGATATTATACTCGACTGATAAATACCTCTGTTATAATTATTTCCGCGATTTTAACTCTGTTTTTACTAAAAAATGTGGGGAACGAACGACAAAGCGGCGCGTTGTGTGGGGTCACCGCCATTTTGACCAATTGCGCAGATCGATGCGCACGGGTCTATTCGCACTAGATCGATTTGAAGTTCAAACTTTCATTTTTCTCGTCAGCAAATCGTTTTTCTTTTTCAAACATCATTTCTCCATAGAAAATACTCTGCTGTTAAAGAGTTCATTGAATAATTAATCAAATTTTATAATCTAAAGTATGGAATATCTTATACGAAGAAATTTTTTATTCGAGAACATGTAACGTTTTTTTTCTTTCCATTAAAAAATTGATTGGATAATTAAAAAAAAATTATAATATAAAATATCGAATATATCATGAATGTACAATTAAAATAAAAAAATTAAATATAAATTTATCACGAGAAGATTTTATTTTACAAAAGGTCATGTTTATTCTCATGATCAAATGGATAAAATCTATAAACAGAAATACTGGGAAAAATCATTATTTGTTTTTGCTCTGGTACGAGCACCTCCTGTTCACATCCACCAGGAAGTGATTACAGGGATTTTATTAATTATCCCTGATGATTTAGAGCCTGAAAATTTAGTCTCTGCCATCTCCAGTAAAAAACCGATATCTTTCATGGGATCATAAAAAAATTAAACGGTATACGTCATAACTGCACGTAAACCTCTCCCAGTGGGGGGCACCTGTCTAATGTCTATCCTCACATCCGGTCTGCATGCACTATTTCCGGTATGTGGGGGATGTACCAGGGATATCCCCGGACCCCTGGACGAGAGGGCGCGACCCCCAAAACACTTCACGCACCGCAGAACATATTTTCCCCCTTATTCTCCCCTTGCCATCGATTTGTTATCACGACACGCGATTCTTCTGTTGTAGTTATTGTTCTTTTCATTGCAAAAGGGAGAGTGAGTGGTCAATTTTCCGGGGCTCCTCCAGAACTCTTAGAATGTTCATTTCCCTCGGAATCTGGATTTTTCTTTCTATCGGTGTGACATTTTCCTGTGAATTCTTGGAAGGAAAAAAAAACAAAAGCAAAGAAACACGACATATTTTTATTAAGGGGCAGGTGGGCTTCTGGAATCTTCTAATAATAAATAAATAATATTAATCCGAAAATTGTAACAATAAAAAATAAAATGAAGGCGTCAGGCGATAGCCTTTTATAAAAAATTTCATGTTTTGTATTTGTCTTGCAATAAATTCCGTTAAAAAATCGATAAAAATTTTGTAAGAAAGTGAATTCACGACGATTTTCCCGACTCTCTCTTGGCGTGATAATTTTTATTTGGAAAAGACTATAATTCTTCAACATTTTCGGTGTTCTGGGAATTAATACCATCCCATTCCGGTCCAGATGATAAAAGGGGAGTGTGAAAGCACTCGATTCGAGAGGGTAACTAAATCGATTTCACACTCACGCTGAGTAGAAATTAATAGACACCCGGGACCAGGTGGTGGATGTGAGGACGACGGGGGTTGGACACCGTGGAAAAATCATCCCCATGTTTTTAAACATCACTTACACAAAAAACATCGTATTATTTACCGATGACGATTACTCGAGGAGCAGACGAAATCGTTGAGATTAATTTCACAGCAATTTCTCCTGAAAAAATAAATAAAAAATATATAAATATCATCGACAAATATTCTTCGATGTATTCCTCGGGGTTGGGTGATAAATCGGTCCAGATGGTTCACTCATTACCTCGGATTGTAATTATCCCGAGCTGCAATCGGTTTTTCAAAAATCGAGGGATGAATTACCGATTCGGACTCCTGCACGCGATGAAAAATACGATCCCCTATCCACGGTAGCTGAAAAAAATAAATGGAATGAAAGCGAGATAATCGCCGAGATATTATTTTACGAATGGACAATTGCGGATGAGATTCTCGGGTCTGATACGTCGAGAGTAATCCCGAATGAAAATAATGGATCAGCCGAGGCCTTTTGTTACGTTAAAACGTGGGCGAGCTGGAGAAAATTGTTTTCCAGTTGGTAAAATAATATGAATATTTATATTCAGAACTGTCTCGAGATTTTTCTATTTTTTGATGAAAATTTTTCCCCATTAATCCGAAAAATTAATTGGAAAAATCCAGTTGATTAAAATTCATTTTTTAATATTTTTTATTATTATTTAGAAAATTCGATGATTATTTAATTCAAGGAGATCTGGAGGTGATGTTTAATTATCAGAGAAGCTAGAGGTAAGAGGAATTTTCAGGAAATTCTCGAGTAATTGAACAAAATTTGAATTTCGAAGCGAAGGAAAAATTCTTTCCTGCGCTGGGGGTTAATAGAATAAAAATTACACAACCGCATCGAACATATTTTTGCTCACATGATCCTGGCAATTTCTGATAGCGATCCCAGATTTTCGATTCGATAAAATAACGAGAGGTGATGGAGATTGTGTGCACGTGGCTGGGCACGTGCACCCGGGGTTAACCGCACTGGTGACATTTGGCCGGTGAAGCAAAACCCGTAATTACGAATTCAGTAAAATATCCATTCCTCAAAACGTCGTACAATTTCGTTATAAATTGGGGGGTAAACACATGGCACCGCGGAGACACTTGGCTCGTGAAATCAACGAGATATTTTAAAACTGCCGAATTATTTAAATCAACTGAAAGATCAAGTTCCACACAGGGAGAAATATACGGTATTAATTACGTGTAGTTTCCGTAATTCTGGAGCGAAATGTGGCTGTCGGAAATTTTAGGGAACTGTCACGTAATTTTTATCTAAAGTCGCGGAATTTTTCTGCGGTGTTTCGTAATTTTTATCTGGATTATTAGTGAAAAATTACGATACCGTCATTTAAATTTTTCGAATCGACTCCATAATCGGTAAGTGACCTGAAAGTTCCGTAATTTTTACGGAACTTTCAGGAAATATTAAACATTCCTTTTTTAAATTCCATAAAATTTAAAGACAAAACATCATTCAAATCATTAATTTGATTTTATTTTTAATTCAAAGTTTTTCCAACTCTCGAGGACCAAAAAAAATTTGTTTAATTGTGGAAAAAAAACTGATGCACTTGTCTAAAATGATCTCGAAAAAAATTTGTTGTATTTTTGTAAAAAAGATTGAATTAAAATGAAGGAGAAGCCTTAAAAAAAATGGCATGTACCATTTTTAAATAATCATTATTATGATACACAAAAAGTAAAATTCATCTATATATATTATTTATCACACACATAACAACGAAGTGACTATTAATTTTAAATAAAAGACAAAAATATGAAATTAAAAAATCATATGGGGCTAGTCCCGTGAAGCCTTCATTATTGTTAAATAAATAAATGAAAGAATGGTACAGGAACGGCAAATCTTTGTTGAAGAAAAATGATACGTGAATTTGGTGGATGGAGTGTCGTCTTATCACTTCACCCCTTGCACCCCTTGCACTCACCGCATCCCTTATCAGATCGATGAATAGGCGGCAACATCACCCCCGTTGAACTCCAAGGGGGGAGAAGATACGCCCCTCCTGTCCACCGATTGGACGACCACTGGGACTCATTCGACCCCTGGGGCACCCCGGCTGGAGCTTTTACCCCGTCTTTTCCCACTTCACCACGACTCAGTTACCGCTAACGTCGTGACTCCACCGCGATCCGGTGATAACGCAATTATCTTCACTATCCTAACTATTCCGCATCAAATTCCCAAAAGAATTTTTTTTTTCAACTGAAAAAAAAGAAAAATCGACGAAAAAAAAAAGCAAACTTATCGCACTCATTCGCAATTAATTAGATATTAATTAAGTGATTACTATGATAAAATAGGTGTGAATAAAAAAGTGATTACTATGAAAAGAATAGTGTGTAATTAATGAAGCATTCCATTCTCTACGAAAAAGCGGGAGAGAATTTCAAACCCCCTGAGACTTTAATTCAATCATTAAATCAAATTACCCAATTAATTAATCAGTCATTGATTGAAAAATCATGGAATCAGTAAAGTATTCCAATAAATAATCCACGGGTAATTACTTCCAAAAAAACAGTGTCTTTTTTCGGCTCAAACCTTAGAAATGATCAATTCGACCTTCACGAAAAAATAGACTAATGATTTAATTAAATTATCAACTAATCAAATTCCTTTTCTAAATATGAAGGAAAGGATGAATTCAGAATATCTCGAATAACCCATGAATGATAAATTTTATTAAATAAAATGTGTGAAAAACGTGAGACAAATTAATATACCGAGCTAAACACAGAATTAATTGCGAGCGGTGGTAATTATTTCATGAATCATCATTAGAATAATTCTGGGAATGAAGTCTTTTTTTTTGTGATGAAATGCTGAAGAATGTATGTCTTGGAATTTTGTGGAGTGTACCACTCAATTAAAGAGTGTTGAACAAGTGTTTAATAAAAATCTGGAGCACGTGCGAGGGGTAACGACACGTGCCAGTGTTTTGAGAGAATCAACCTGACGCGTGTCCTAACGGTATCAGACCTGAAGATCACCCCCTCGTGCTCAAGTGCCCGGAAGAAGGCTCAGCAAATTATTTACAAATGCAAAGAGAATAAAATGTAATTACCGTACCGGAGATAAGGAGCGATCTAGTCAGAATTTCTGGTCATTAGTTTGTAATTTGAAACTGTCGGGATGATGTACTCGGTGGACAATCTGGAGCTGGACATGATGAACAGGCATTATATCTACGATGCCCACTCGTTCCTGGGGAATCCTGTGATACCACAGCTACCTCCACACTGCGGTGCACCGACGGCCACCGTTTTACCGCCGATGGTACCCCAACTTCCGCCCTCGCATCCACCTGGAAGCACTGGAAGCTCAAACTGTAGTGAACATTATCCATTCGATGAAAATAGCAGCGATGATGAGAGTATTTACAGCAGTGATCGTGAGATTCGATCTAGGGACGGACATTCCAGGAAGTAAGTTCATGAGGAAATTAATAATTAATTAAAGTCAATAGAAATTATATATTAGTCATGAAGGAGTCATGAGGGTGTGGACTGTCGAGCGTCGCTTCATGAATTTTCACATTCTCTGGAGTATCTCGGGACTGACTCGTTTGAGAATTCAAAGCCCTGGGAAGAATTTGTAGAGAATCTTATCAGCTGCAAGATCGGGCTTATCACTTTTTTGGATTGATTCACTCGTTTTTGAGATATCTTCGGTTTTTCTACGTGTGTTGAGGAAATTTTTAGTTTTCGGGATTTTGTTTGGAAGGCAGTCTTCTGGGGATATCTTTCGAATGGTAGATGGTGGTGGAAATTTTGTAGGAAACATTTTGTAGAGCGGAATTAGAGCTACGAGTAAGGTTGTTATGAAAATTGGCTAAAATCCGTCGATTTTGGAATTTTCCGTGAAAATCTATTGCGGAATTTTGGAGGGAAAACTATAGGTAAATTCGTCGTCTGTCATATTCCGGTTTTTCTAAAATATCTCAGCCCTGAAGAGATCTACCAAATTTTCACATGAAAATTTTTTGTAGCTCTACCTTCCACGCTGAAAAACACTCTTTACAAAAATTTCGCTATCTCCTCCCGCATCGAAGATATCTTCAAAAGATTCATCCTCAAAATTAATTCCAAAAAATCTGGACCTGACCCCGACATATTTCAAAAAACTAAAGTTATCTTAACAATAACTAGCTCCAGCTAAAAAAGTCATAAAATCTTTTATAAAGCTGATAAAAAAAGGAACAAAAACTTTTTTTCGCTCAACCCTATATCTCCCTCAGATTCAAAGATATTCAGCTCCAACCACCCCCCCATAACTAGCCGCAAACACAAAATCGAAATCTCGAAATCTCACTTGAAGATTCTTCACGTTTCCGAATACCTGACTAAAAAAAAAGATTCCCCAGGCGCAGTCATGATTGCATGATGGAGGACGAGGATGGGCCGACGTTGAAACGTCCACGTCAAGCAGTCCAACAGCGACAAGCAGCAAATCTCCGGGAAAGAAGACGTATGCAGAACATAAATGACGCATTCGAGGGTTTGCGAGCGCATTTGCCCACTCTACCGTACGAGAAACGATTGTCAAAAGTTGACACCCTCCGTCTCGCCATCGGTTACATAACATTTTTGACAGAACTCGTGAGGGCTGACAAAGGCAGTGACACCCACAACGGCAGTGGAACCATCTCCAGGTGCACGGGAAGGGAACATACCGAGAAAGTAATAGTTCACAGTAAGTTAAATCCAATTTACGTTACCCGCCATTCCATTTGACTTTTGCATGTTACTCCCGAACCCCTGGATTATTTCGTCCAAGTATTTCTACCCTATTTTCTTATGTACAGAGACTCTAGCGAAATGAATAACTTAGACAGAAATAGCGCATTGTTGTTTGAGGAATAGAAGATTTGTTATTCCTCATGGGAAGACACAGGTGGTATCGCAGCACCCTAGGTGTCAGCGGTCATTTAGAGGAATGACAACAGACCATTGTCCGACGATGGAACACTTCCGGTTCGTTAAGGCCCTGTGTTCCGGTGGTTTAGCAGCAAACTGACCAATTCCCAGAATCTCGTTCCATCTTTTTGCATGGATATCTCCAAAACCGCTGGATTTTCGGAGGAACTCCATACGACCTTTTTTGTAGAGCGTCGAATTTTGCATAAAAAGTTTTTCAATCATTTTTCTCTGGGCCCCATAGTTCTGGGGATATCCCCGATCTAAAGATCAAGAAATTGTTGAGTGTTGAGTTCTCGAATTTGTTCTAGGCTACGGTGGAAATCCTTTCATCTCGCATTCACTCTCCTGGTCGAGAAAATCGGATATATCACCCAACGGGATGATGTTCGCGAAGGTCTGGACACCAGAGGATCCACGTCTCACCAAGAGTTCGTCGACACTTTCAAAAATTGAGGCGATGGAGATGGGGAAGGTGTGGTCCCCAGAGGAAACTCATACATCGAAATCCGATAATTCTGTTGACAAATTTGAGAGCCCGGAGATGCCCAAGGCCTGGACACCGGAGGAACACGGTGTTCTCAAGAACAGCATCAACGAGAGCATGGAAATGGCGAAGACGTGGACAGAACCTACATCTACCCTGAAAAATTGCATGGAAAAACATTTGGCCCTGGACTGCGTCGCTGTCCAGTCGTAGGGAAAGGGTTAGTGGAGGCAGACTGAAATTTTCCTACGAAATCATCGGGTTATTTAGTTTTTAGGGGTCTGTCTTCACCTGGACGTCACCAGTGCAGCCAAAAGAGAAAATAAATCTAGTCGAATCAAGTCATTATATTTGTAAGAATTCAGATTACTGTAATTATCGTGTGATAAAGATTATTGTAAGGGTCAGTCATTTGTAAATAAAATCTACCATTATGATTTAATGAGAAATTGTTATTTTTTTTTCATCGTTTTCAGGAGAAAATATCCCGGGATTTCTGTAACTCGGTGAATGTTTAAAAAATAGGAAAACCGATTTTTTAATTAATCATAAAGTAATTTTTTTCAATAATTTATAATTTCAGATTATGTTATTGATTTCTAAATGAAATTATTGCATTAAAAAAAACAGTAATAATTCATCCAATTAATAAAATAAAAATAAAAATTTCTTTTCCAGAAACTTTTTGAAAATTTGTTAAAAATATTCCGATTACAATTTTTTTTACCCGAGTCATTAACTAAAAAATAAAAGGCAAAGACCCTCCACATATCCGATAATATCGAAGCTCTCGTCATAAGTGAATAATAATCACAATAACGTTAAAGTTACGAAATTGTTGATTTGACGAAATAACGAGGGGTAAAAATGAATGATGGAGAATACGATTAAAGAAAGCCCTGGGAAATTCAAGATGGCGATGCACCTGCGTGGTCCTAGAGTACCAAAAGCTGTGGGGTGTGCGCGACTCTGTACTCTCTGTACAAATGGGCGGGTACGTCGATATTGGCGAGCGTCGCGACGTTACACTATCCCCGAATGAGATAGACAACCCGGAGGGTAGACAAGAGAGGAGGGAATGAGAAAAGCGTAATGGCGTTGTACCGGCTGTTGTGCTTCCCACGCGTAGCGATCGTTTCGTTATATATAAATACCCTTAAACCCCGGTGTTATACCCACCCTATTTTTCCACCCACCCACCTACCCACCTATCCACCCCCTGGACTTCCCTCACAGGTCAGAGCTGAATGCATGTATCTCCTCGTTTCGTGCTTCAATGCATCTGCAATTGGGATAATGCTACCGATAATTAACAATAATTTTTACTGGAATTTTCACCGGAAAAGTGAAAATCATGTACACGTAAAAAGCACTAGCCAGTGTTGCACTACAATTTTTTTTGTATTATTAATAATAATTATTATTATATTAGTTCATGAGTTGGAATTTATGGGGTTGATCTCGTTAATTAGTATTCATTATAATGTTTAATTATCATTTTGAATATTTTAGGTAGGAGTTAACAAAAGGAAAATTACGATATTGATTTAATTCGCGATTTACGCGATCTTAATTGTAATTTACGTTTTTAGAAATCGTGATTTATCGAATGTTTTCAATTTTCGTGATTATGATTAATAAATGATTTTCTAGCGCTGCGCGATTTTTGAATGCCAGATTAATATTCTAGAGCTTTTATAGTGAGAGCAGTATGTGACAGAGTAGAATAGTAATGAATGTAATGAGAATTGTAATTATTGATTATTATTAGAATATTGAGGAGAATGTATTGTCAATAATCAATCAATTCATGTTGTTTTTTTACTTCGACCAGTTTTTCTTTATTTCAGCTCTAGTTCGCGCACGGGGGAAAATATCTAGGGTGTCCATGGCTCGGCTATAGCTCTCCACATTCTCGACTATTCATAGTAATTTCTGGGGTGAATATTTCATGATTTGTAGCAGACTCTTGTCTAGGGCTTTCTGCAATTGTTGAGTACCAGAACAAACAGAAAATGTGAGTCCTCAGGAGGTCAAATAGTCGGAAAAGTGGAGAAATGTTTTCATTTTCGGGAGCTCTGATTATCTAGAATTACGTGAGCATTTCCTTGAATTTATTAAAAAGCTTAAGATTCTAAAGAAAAATAATTTTTGATTCATTTTCATTTGTTCGTGAGATGAACATATGAAAGAATTGAATTTTGATTTTTCGAAAAAGTCCCTTTTTACCTCCGAATTTCCTAGATCAGGCCCTGAGGCCTGAAATTTTTTTTGTAAAATAATTTTTCGATCTTCGAGGGCTTTAGTCTTCATAAAAGTATATAACAAACACATATATTACATATTATATCGATTCCTACTATATGATTCATTCCTCCCACCTCAAATAAAAAGTATCCTCTCTTCCCCAGCCCCCTCCCCCCTCAGTAAATAAAAATCACCTCCCAACGGCTAAAAAATTACAAATTCACGATGACGACGAGCGGCTGATAAATCGATTAAAAACGGTGCGATACAAATTTTTTATTCAATTTTTTAATTCAATTCCATCATTCCCGCAACTCCTACGGTCTCCCCGCTATGGATGGAGAATTAATACTTTATTTGTGTGTCACTCCAGCTGCGAGGATCAGCACAAGTGTCGACTGTTGTTCTCTCGCGCCTCTTCCCCTAGGCCAAAAAAAAAAAAAGGGACCAGAAATTTCATGGGCACCCCAACCTCTCGAAACAGATCCACTGGGTGTACACGGACCGCTAATTTTCACCGACATTGTCATACCAACGTCCGAGCCGATTATTCTCAACCCCAAGTGCATCTTCACACCTTCCTCAAATAATAATAATAATTAATCAAATAATAAAATATAATAATAATAATAATAATATAATATATAATTGGCATGAAATATAATTATATGATATATTATATAATGGATAATTATATGATATATTATATAATGGATAATTTTATAATAATTATAATATGTAATTATTTATTTGTAATTTTCATTTTTTTTTTTCATTTATTTAAATCCGGATGTAAATTGCAAATTTTGCTGGAGGATTTCGGTTCTATATATTAAATTTTAATATTAATATTGATGTTAATATTTTTCCTGAATATTTTTATCGTCTCCATGTTGAATCGATGATTTGTTTATTGCGATGACCGGATGGACGGGAAATCTATGGCGTTATCTAGAGTGCATACAGGTGTTGGAGAACACCTGGGGTCATCTAACCCTCTGCATCGCATTTACGATCGTTAAAAATGTGTCGTCTTCATTTTTAATTGGATTTAATTTTTTCCACGGTTTTATTATTAGTCATATTTTATAACGAAAATGTTAATTAAAAATTCAGCAACTTCGGTCGACGAATCATCAAGGAGATGTGGAGATGAAGTGTATTTTCATGAACAAATTACTGATAAATAATTAAATCAGATTGAATTGTAGAGAGAATCTCGGTTGTCATCGTTTTCTCGATGAAGATTAGTCTTAATTAAATCGTAATTAATTCAGATGAATTTGGTGGTGAGTTGATATTGTCGGGGGAAGTAGATGATTGGAAATTAATTCGAATCAATTTGGTGTCGATTTTTCCCCTTAACCGTAAACGATGGAATAACTACCGAGAATTAGTTCAGTTGTACTTACCGAGTTCATTATTTTTCCATTCACTGTCTTTTTGGGGCGATGGTGCACCGTGGGCCACTATCAGCTGTGAAAACACCCTTGTTTATAGACATCGGGACACAATGAAGTGTAATTGAATCCATATTCGGGTTTTTGTGGGGAGCTCTCTCCGGGTGTTGCTAGTGGAGCGTGGAGACCCAAGGGGCTGAATTTGTGGACAATTAGGGATAATTTTCGTGTCTCATTGAATGGAAAAGCGATATCAATGCATCACTTAATTTTTCACTTAAAAATTGAGACATCCTTACAACAAAAGCCCTGAATTCCATTACTAATTTATTTCTGAAATTAATTTCATCACAAGATATTTCCCCGGTAGTTTTGGGGAGCCTAATGCTCTAATGGTTACTTAATAATCATAATACATTTTTTTGATTATTACTATTTCATGAGGAATAAATAATTTTTTCAATCATTTATTGCAGTGAGTTTCATGGAAAATTTCGTCCGGAAACTTTCATACAATTTTTCATACAATTTCAATGTGATATTTTGGAATATTTGAATATAATCATAAAAATTTGTGCAATAATTTGCATTTCAAAAATTCGGGATGATTCGGGGATTGCACTTCCGAATCCTCGCGATTTTTTGAATTTTTTAAATTTTTTGAATTTTCTGAATTTTGCCGCCCCCACCCCCCGGCAAAATTTGCGCAATAATTACCAACCCCCCCAGGTTTCCGCGAAGATTCCCAAATTTCCGCGACTTTTTGAATTTCGACGTGGTGGTGGCGGGTCGATCGTCTTACGGGTCTTAATCCTTACGGTCATTCGAGACATTTCGAGAGTTTCGATATATCTCGAGATCGATCTCCTTTCTCCTTTTTATACTACTAGCATTTCTCGTGGGGATGATTGATTGGTTATACAGGGGAAAAATTCCTCTTGAAAATAGTGAATAAATGGGGAAAAAATGGGGAAAAAATGGGGAAAAAATGGGAGGCGCAAAGAGAGCAGCGGTACCCTCATGTAAAAATACAGAGCAAATACCTGGACAGCTGCACTCCAGGGGTCCAGGATGTAGAGACAGTTGCATTAATCCCCTGCCCTTTCGAGTTCGCTTTGGCGCTCACAACCCACCGATAAAACCACCCCGACGATCTTTATTATACTTCAATTATCAGTAAACCCCACGTTAAGTCGCAACAACCCCTTTTCATACAAAGGCTGTATTCACATTGTCAGTACATGAACCGAAAAGGTGTAATTTTCATAGTTTTCTTCATTTCAGTAGATATTTTTCCAATTGTCCATTTATCTCCAAAACTATTGGCTCTGAGGAAAAATATCAAAAGAACTTTTTTATTGGAAATTTAATTAACTACAAAAAATGGTCATACAATTTTCCCGCGAAACCGATCGTTTCAGGGGTAAATCGGGAATTTAACAATTTGGTACCAATGGCACCCATTGTTAATTGATTTATTAGTTTATAAGCAAAAAAATGAATTCGGTGATTTTTTTAATGCGGTTAAATTTCCTGAATTCGATGCAAATATTTCTGAAAATCAGGGGTAATTTCTCCCTTTATTTTTCCCCTGAAAATTGAAACTTTTTTCTTTGTGCAGCGAGAAGTTTCCATGAGGGGTTCGACCAGAGGGAAATCGACGGTTTGAATGTTGAAGTTGAAGGGGAAATAAATAAACTTATTGATTTCCTTGGGTCGTTAATTCTGTTTTTATAGAAAAAAAAAACTTTTTGAAAATGAAATTTTTCCGATCGCATCATTCGCTCGTTAAATATTCAGTTCGGATTAGAAAATTTTTCGTGAATTAAATGATAACTATCTTGGAGAGATAATTATCTAATTCCATTGACTGTTTTAGTACCGATGATATCGGGAGTTAAATCCCCCGTGAAAATTCGGGTGAGCTACCCTCGCATTTTAAATCGCATTAGCAGTTGCATTGTATTTTAAAACTTTCCTAATTCGAGATGACGAGATAACGATTTCGAAATCGGAGATACGATCCGTCGAGTCCTCGGACTATTTCTCGATATTTAACTCGTCAGATCTGAATTTTCTGTTTTTCTTCCTCGAAATTTAAAAATCGTTCTATTTTTTAAAGTTAATTGTAATAAATAAATATTAATCTTCAATTTTTTCATTTTTCAATTGAACTACGCGATTAATTTCTACTAAACAATATCTTTTTTGTCTCAATCAAATTATTTTTACTGGAACGTTTGAATTGTAGATTAATCAACCGATTTTTAAAGAAAAAAAATCGAATACCGATTTCGATTTCATTAGAATTAATTTCCCCGGATGGAGGAAATAATTTCCCGGGAGGAGAAAAAGAAATATAATTCAATTACAAGAGAAATAATAAATTCATTTTTGTTTACAATTCCTCTACTATTTTAAAAAGTCAATTATAATCAATAAATATTAATTTCCTTCTTCATTTCCAATGCATAATTTATTTCTAGTGAACAATATCTTTTTTATATCAATAAAATTATTTTTACTGAAACATTTGAATTTTATATTAATCAATCAATGTTTGAAAGTAAAAAATCGAATACCGATTTCGATTTGATTGGAATAAATTTCCCCGGGTGCAGAGGTGCCTCCTGAGAATTATCTCGACGATATAATTCAATTAACAGAGAAATAATAAATTCATATTCGACAGGTGAGTACACACGCTACGAATAGTTACCATGAAGGGTTTTTCGACTCTACATCTATATCGATTTGCGGATATAGCATGAGGTCACAGGTGATGAATTCCCACGATCTCCCATGTTTATATGAACAGACAGGGCTATATTCTCTTTATCCCTTATTCCTGCTGTCATCGGGGCCCCAGTGCAAGTGGAAAGTTAAGTACAAGTGAGGAAAACATTAGGTATTCGTTTCTAGTTGAATAACACGAAACTGTAATTGAGGGGAAATCTTCCTAAATACTCGACGTGTTCATTAATTTACGACTCCACGTAGAATTTCCCCGTGATTTTTCCTCCATTTTTAATTCATCCTTTTGTAAATAATACTCAGGACAATTCCACCGAGTGGATAACCGAATGGAATTTATTATTTATTAAAGAATAGAGTTGCTACTCACCACCTTACACGCGAATCGATGCTCAAGTCGTTTCTTCTTCGGCGTTACAGGTTTGATTTCGAATAATAAATTAATCGAGTTTTCTTTTCATCGAGTCATTTATTCCTTAACGTTCATTATGCACATTTACATTACAAAATCGGGTCGCACAGTCCATCGAGTCTCGATAAATGTTGCATTAATAATAAAAATGCTGGATTTTTCAGAAAATTATACTGATCTTTTCATTATTCAATCGAAAGGATAAAATTTTAGAAACTTCACTTTCGAATTCCCCAGAAATTCCTCAGGGTCTAAAATCCTCAGATTATATTTGTAAGCTTTTTTAAATTTTCTCAGTGATTTCTCGATTTTTTATTAATTGTTATTATATAATTCTGTTGTGAACTAGGATAAGAGCATTTTTTTCACGGCGAGTTTTTAGCCAATATCTCGAAATTGAAGAAAGATAATGATATTTTCATGAATACCTTTTTTGTAGCTCTTATCTTTTTCTGTAATTAATGTTTACGCGAAAAATTTGATGTGTTCCTTCAATTCCGAGAAATTGGCTTGAAACTGCAGAAAAATTCTTCGATATTCACGCGCTTTTTTTTAAATAGAAATCTGAAATTTTTTATGAGAAAAATTCAGTACGAATTAAAATTTTGTTAATGTCTTCAGATTTTCAGGAACATATCTATCGAGGTTCGATAGAACAGGCCATCCTCGTCTTAGGTCCCCCCCATTTCTTTGTACATATAAAATAGAATGCTAGCAACCTACCTCAACTATCCTAGACGTTAATCAACGCCGTTTCACGATTTGTTCAGATCGTGGGTGGGATTTACTCATAATTAATCATTCAATTTTTCTCTCGTCGTATGATCGAATCAGATGATGGAATCCCGAGGCAGCAGTGAATAGAGACATAAACCCCAATTTTCACCCAAATTTTCCGTGTGTACCCCAACAAAAATTCACTTCAACCTCGAGACACAATCATCTCGCACAAAATGAGATGAAGGAATGAGACGAATCGACCTCCCGAGTCTCCACACGATAGCGAATTAATTTGGCACACAATTTTTCAGTGAAAAAATATTCCATCTGTTAAAAATTCTTACCCGAAAATTTATATCTAATTACACATTGTGTATCTAAACGTAGAAAAGTCTTATCGATAAGTGTGCAAAAATTTCTCAGTGAAAAAATTGTCAATTCACGTTTGACCTCTAGATGGAAATCTGTTCCCTCTGATTTATTCCTGAGCAATGATATTTACTGATACACATTCGCATCCTGCAAGCTCGGTACGAGGTCCTCCGGTTAATCTAGGCCCTTATCATACGACGAATTACAAATTCACAAGAGATCATTTCAGTTCAATTCACTCATTCACTCCAGCATCTGTTGTTCATTTCCCCTCCCATTAGTCCTTTGATTCTTCCTCAACCAAGAATTATCCAGAACATTTAAAAAACTTAACCCAGAAATGATAAATTAAATTTTTCAATTGGAAATTTCGATATGTCAGTTGGAATAATCTGTAAAACGACGAAACATCTCGCACTTTTCACAAAAGATTTATCAATTTCTCAAGATTCAGATGCAATTCGTTTTAAGAGACAAAATTTTCTGAAACTTCGAGATTTTTATGAGTTGTCTCAATTTTGCTGAGAAATGGAGTGGAAAATTGTACAATTTCCCATATTTATAATATAAAAAAGAAAATTCTCCTCCACATTCTCCCAAAAAATTATGAGTATTTTTCTCTGAATTCACCTAGAATTCCTGATTTTAATAACTTTTAAGTAAAATAACAAGAATATTTAAACCTGAAAAATTGAAGAAAAATTCAAGTCTGTTTCCCCGTTTCCCGAAAGAATTCCATAATTTCTTCTCGAATTTCTTGCTGACTGACGTCGTAAAAGGCAGTGCTCGTGTTACTCCCCAACACATTAATTCCCTAACGAATAATCACCTAAAGAACTCTATCTCGTGCGTGTGCGAATGTGGCAGTAGTGCATTGAGGTATTCATATAAAATCACATATTTTGTTCAAACGTCCCAAGTACAAACCATTTCCTACCCCAATGGTCACATTAAAAAATGTCAAATCTCCTCAATGCATCACTCCTAATATACAGGCATAAATCTATCAATGTACACCTACATTATTATTGCTATTCGTCGATTGAATTTAACAATACAGCCTACAATTTGTACACATATCCTAAACCACCCACTCACACGCAAGTTCAGCCCAGCAAAATTTAAATTAAAACCTTTCTTATTTATGTTTCCTTTAATTTATTCAAGTCTTTGCTGTTTCGAGATAATAATCCCCTAATTATATAATTTTCACGTCCAAATACAAAAGTTCTTAAATGCTACAGATTTTTCTAGTCTGTATTTTTCTAATTTCAAGTCAAAAACAAATTTCATCTTTTTTCTTAATTAATTGGAAACACGAGTTTCCGGTCAATTGACAATTCCAATCTCATTAGATTTACTTAATTAACGACTAAACTGGCCTGTTCAGCGGCAGCTTTGAATCAAGAACACATGATCAACTATCGCAGCATTCAACGAGGAAACTAAACTAGAAAATAATGCAGAACTCCAAAACGTAATAAAGTTAAAGGAAATAAAAAAATTGAGCCTAAACGCAATAGCGTCGTCAACATTCACAATTACATGCAAAATGACTCCCTAATAACAAAACAAAAGGGCAGAATCAACATCACGAGTGAAGTGTTAAACCGAGATAATTCAATTAAATTTTTTTCCATAATTATCGATTTTTCCCGAAAAATATCCATTTGAACGGAAAACCTTGAAGAACTTTTTTGTAGCCAATTGAAATGCCCACAAAGAAGTATTCTTGATATTTTCTTCTAAAACCCATAGCTTTCGAGATCAATTAATATTTAAAAAAATAAAAAATTGTATGTTGAGTAGAGTGAGACGAAATGGAACGTCTTCAATCGTCAATAACTTTAGATCAGTAGAGTGGAATTCAACGAGCTTTTTATCATTTCAAAGATCTGTTTTGAAGCTTTGAATTGAGAGAAAATCATTCAACTTTACTTGGTGCTTTCCGAGTTATTGATAATTGACCGTTTTGTCCTATTCTACTCTGTCTCACATTATAACTACACACGTGACATTTTTATTTGTACGAAACGAAAAAATGAATGATATTCTGCTGCGATAGAGTAAAGGGCTGTGATCACGCTGGTACCGAATACCTCAAAAATAATCTTAAATAATTTCGTCGAATGAATTCACCTTCAGCTTGGCTTATTGGATGGCCCATGACTGGTCGTTGTGGGCCCATGGCTGTGTTGATTATGAACATTACCTACTTGATTACTGGTAAGACTGGACATCGTCGGTTGATACACCGACCCCATGTAACTGCCTGAAGACCTATCAATCATTTTCGATGATTCGTCTATATCGATCTCGTAGAGATGCTTAATTAAGATTATTTACAGGTTTGATGTCAAGTCGCCCCGATCGATGATGGGAGGTTGTCGACGACGAGTTAATCGAGCAGATAATTATTTTTTTTTAAGACGGTGTTGAACCATTGTCTTACCTAGGTACTCCTCGAAGGGGATCTGGGGTTGCTGAGGAGCTTCTGAACACTCCGGAGGTATTGGCTGTTGCTGGCGACACTATGTTGCCTGATTGGGATTGATGATATCCACTGGCTGCGGGGCTGTGCCTGGACAATCCAATATTCATTACGGTAAGATAAACAAATGACAAAATAAATATATTCTATAAATTACAAGATGAAAATTGAACAAAAAATATTGACTTGATGGATTTGTGATTGATTTTTTGTTTAATTCAATCGTCTCGATTGTATTTAGTTCCCAGAAATATTTTTCTATCCAAAAACAAAATTTGAAAAAATTCAGGATGAAATATTTTTCACCTTATCGTCGTTGGGCTAGGCTGAGGTGGTACTAAACTTCCCCTATGAGGATATTGCTGTACAGAGGCAGCAGCAGGTGGTGAAGGATCAGGTGGCAGTCCATTTTCCATTGGTGTGGAGTGTCCACTGGAGCTGGAGTGAGGCATGTACGTGTTATTGACCCTGGAGTCTCGACTGACCCTGGACATAGATGCAGGTGCCCCAGGTGGTACATTAGCATGTGGAACATTAGAATCAGTTGGATTGACTGAGGGATGAATATTATTCGGTGGATGATTGCTGGGTTGAGTTGTCAGGGGAATGGCTAAACGTGCATTAACAGCTAGCAGGTGATCCCTGCGTTGGAGTAGGCTGTTGACATGCTCCTCGAGTCTAAGATTTTCAGCTCGTAATTGATGGAGGCACGATAGCAACGATGCAATATCGAAGTGCTGTGCCTGCTCCATGAGAAATTGGCTGCCCTGCTCCCACTGTCTCTCCAGTAGCTGATCGAGTGTCTGAGGTATTGCACCACCAGCAAGACCTCCAGCCCCAAGACTCGAGTTATTGCTGTTCTGAGAGAAAACGGCTGAGAACGACGTGGCAGACTGCTGCTGCTGCGCGGCCTGATTCGACCTGATTGAGGCTATAACTCGACTGTGGAGCTGTGGACCAACGAGATTGGTAGATGAATTGCTAGCCTCAGTGAATATCGAGTGGGCCTCCAACTCCTGATTCAACGTATCCGACATTTTCTGGGCCATCGTCGATGATGGATTCAACTGATTGCCCAGCATGTGGGGAGCGCTCACACCATTCTGAAATAATTTAACGTCTTTCTCGTCCTTGGCATTGGTAAGCATTGCTGTTGGTGTTGTTGATGCTGATGGTGTTGGTGTTGTATTTCCAGCGCTCTTTCTCTTTCTTCTGCCAGGGCCTGTGCTGCTCATGCTCTCAGAACCTGGTGAACTAGGTGGTGAGTCCTTCACCACTGGTCCCATAGTACCAGAGCCCACGCTGCTGAAGTGGCCAATACCCAGCGTGGGTCCCTGAATTATAGAGGGAACTGGAGCCACTGTTACCGCTGGAGGCGGAGGCAGCGTGGGTGGCGCCTGGCTACTCCTTCCTCCGCGTTTCGATGTTGTTATCGAGGTCGAAGATGACGAGGAGGGCACTGGAGGCCCTGCCACTGGGTTACTGCTCGATGAAATCCTCTTTGTCCTCCCTCGCTTTTCCTGCTTTTCTGTTGATTGAGTTCTGAAATCATTTTTAATCATCACGGTATTAGGGTTCTGTGAAAATATGTTGAAGGGCAATATGTAAAATTCCCATCGGAATTTTATTCTTTTTAGATATTTATTGTCATTTCATATAGAACAAATTGTGCAATTTAATTGCGTTAGAGCAAAAATTTTATCCTTTTCAATTATTATTTCGACTATTATCCTTTTAATATTTAGTCCAAGTCTTATGATTTCATATATCGGTCGGTCATAAATATCAATAAATCAATTAAGTATTCAGTAATTACTGGGTTGGTAGACTTTCACGTGGGATTTTTCAACAATAAAAAAAAAACGTAATGCGGAAACATGATTTTTTTCGAAAACATTTTGGCGTTGAATTTCATAATTCATTTTTCATCATGCGCTCATCATTTTAGATAGCCATTCTGTAATCTCGAATATCTAGTGTTAATTATTATTATTCGAATTGAAATACCACGCCTCCATATTCGTCCAGGTTCCTCTATTTATTTTAAAATTACTCTTCAATCGTTATTTCAGAATCATTTATTTCATTCAATTCTAAAGCGAACAGATTGAAAGATTTTTAACGAGCAGCTCGAAAATCCCTAGAGCCGAATTTGTTTTTCATTTCAAAAGAGAAATAGCGGTAATTGTGAGGTTCACTGTCGAAATATTCAAAATGCTAGATGTACTATTTCATCAATTCTTCGACAATCTCGAGTAATTCGTAATTGTTTATGAGTTTGTGGAGTTTTCGCAGGATTGGCGGTAGAAAAAAAAAATAAACATAACCTCCAATCGATTTTACCTTCTCATAGACACTCCCGACAATCTCCCCCCAATAACTTGAACACAATGGCTTCCACAGCAATTTTTTCGATTATTTAAACAATCGTGAGATTGAATTTCACGAAGATAACAATATCCAACAAATCACAGATACGAAATGACCTCGATTGAACCGATGTACCCGATATACACATCGAAAGGCCTTCCCCAACTACTGTTATAAACACACTGCCAACTTGTATTTGATTTTTACTTATTCCAACGACAAAAAAAATCAACGTTTCACAACGATAAACCACAAATTGAGATCAATAATCAGTTGTTCTAAATCACAGAGGCATTTAAGACACATTTTGAGACGTTTTTAACCCGATAAACCTTGATATTTTAGGATCATAATCGAAGGAAATAGAGGTTAAGACGGGGGACCTGCTTGTTTACCCCCCACGTCAGCCATTTTAAAACACAGAGCACTGCACTCTCGAATTGCACAGCCTTCGATTATAATCGAAATGCAAATTGTCGATGCAAAAATTACGCGCGAAAATACAGCAATTCAAAATCAGCGAAGAATTCAACAACTCGAACCACATCTTTCCTAATTACCGATTTATCTCGAAAACTATTGACTCAAATGAGAAACATTAGAGGACTTTTTTTTATCCGATTCAATTTCCCACAAAAAATGTCTCTCGATGTTTTTTCCTGAAATCAATAGTTTCTGAGATAAATCGGTATTTACTCGGTGAAGACAAGGAATAAAGTGGAAATGAAGAAATTGAAAATAGAAAATCGCTCTCACCTCGACCTCTTGGCAGGCGTATCCTCAGGATGACCTTTATCACCGACAGTTGTCACAGTTCCATGGATGGGCTGTGTCATGGCAGCTGTGGTAATCATGCTCTGTTGTAATTGCTGGTAGAGTGTTGGGGCACTCGTTACGATACTCTGAATAGAGCTGGCTAGAGAAGTAGCTGTCAGTGGTACTGATACCACTATACTATTGGCTGTCGTTGTGGGAGACTGAGCCACGGTGGAAGGTGTCACGGACATTATCACGGGAGTTGTCGTCGCCTCAGTCGTCACTGGGGTTGTTGAGGTACTTTGAACTGGAGGACTGTCAATTTTTAACTAAAAAATCCCCCAAGAAATGTTGTCAACGAATTAAAAACACTTGATAAATCTTGTCTGACAATTCATTACGGTGAATTGAAATTTCAAAAACTTGTTAAAAACCTTTTTTGATTTTTCTGGTTCTGCATTGGTGCTGAGACTAGTGGCTTCGGTGACTGTTGGTTGGATACTATTGGTGGGTGCCTGTGGAGGAGCTCCAACAGCTACAACTACAGATCCACTGGCCTCAGAACTTACGGAATGATTAGAATTTTCATTTCCCAATGCAGTTGGTGTTCTCGCGCCTGTTTTTCTCTTCTTGCTTGTGTGACTGGAGGACTTTGTGGACGATGAGCTCGACCTGGACTGGCTCTTGTGAACCCCAGGACTCGGTTTCACTCCAGCCTGTCCTCCCTCCACCCCGAAGACACTCTCCGACTGGGTGACAACGGTCTCTACGAAATTTGAACTGGTAAATTTACTGCTACCAGTGTTTTGGTGTTGACTTGTGTCTTTTGGAGTGTTACGACCGCTACCACTTTTATCTTCCGTCATGCCATTGAGTTCCAAACTCGGACTCGAATTTGATTTTGTCTTGGAGCCTGTCGTGGATTTTGAGCTCGAGCCTTTTCTCTTCGTCGTGCTAGAGCTCGTCTTCAGAGGGGCCTCTGCCTCTTTCTCTGGTGATGAGTCCGAGGAGCCGTTGTCAGCAGGGATTGGCTTGTAGGGGGGAATTGTCTTCACGTTGCCACCTTTTTTCTAGAGAACAAAATCATCTTCTTGATTATTCAAAGCAAACTTCCCCTGAAATTCATCTATTCCAGAAACAATCTGCACCACACGGTGAGTTCTGAACGAATATCTCGATATTCTCAAAAAATCCGTGCCTTTGATAGATTTCGAGATTTTCCCTGAAAATGTGACGCTCAAAAACCTCAAGTTGGAGCTTTTTTCTTAAAATTCAATTCTTTGAATTCAGAACTTGTTAGGGCAATAAAAAACTAGTTACCAGTTTCGAATAATGATGCTGGCAGTATCCACAGTACTTGACATTGTCAAGATAATTTCCAGCCTCCTCACAGAGGAGGCCAAGTGCCTGAGCGCACGTAACATGAAATTGCTGCTTGCATCCTGTCTTATTACACTGCATGCAGGCTCCCACCGTTGCTCTGCTACCCCTGCCCTGCTCCTCGCATATATAACACATCTGAGATACAAAAAACATGGAGAATGTCAAGAATTAATCCACGCAGAATAACAGGAGCTAAAATCAATGAATCGTCACCTTATTGAACCTTTCCCCTGGGATTAACTGGAGAATAATCGGTTCCATCGTTGTGACGTTTCCAAATCGCACCTCTGGGATGTACAGGGCACAGACCACGTGGGCCCAGCCCGCCTGGTCTGTCTTTTTAAGGGCCCCATCCCTGCTTGGGCACAATTCACAGCGCTGAAATTTCGAAACCAAAAATTCATTATGCATCCTCAAATAAAATTCTCCAAAGTAATTAATTTAATTTTCGTGAGATGAGTTGGTTTGAGGCTAGTAAATTTAATTGGTAGGAATACTTTTCTTTTGAATGAATGAATCACTAAAATAGAAATACTCACCACTCTGGCACTCCTCTCCTGCGACTCGCATTTCCTGCAGTACCAGGGCCCTGTGGGCACCGTGACAATGCCATAACACGCTGAAACCCCGTAAAAAGAATAAATCCCCAGAATATTCAAAACTTGAGTTAAAAAATGAAGATCAATAAATTTTCCAAGTTTTGACCTTGAAATATCAGACCAATGACAGTTCCTCAGAATTTCCAGGGAATTCGATCTTTCCTTTCCAGAACAACGAAAATTATCCTCGAATCTCCACGAAAACTTGACCTTGAAACCGAACTTTGCCCTTAAACGACAAAACAAGTGACAGCTCCACGAAAATTCTCTGTGATTCCCTCATTAAAAATCCATACCATTCGCTAAAAAAAACTGAATCATTTCACTTTTTATCCCGACCCAAAAAAAAACTGAAATTTCCAGAATTACGTCCTCGTGAAAAAATCTTCGAGGAAAAAACCGAACGTTCCGTAATTCCCGAGAAGAATGCAAACAATGAAATATTGTTAAAAATTCCTGGAGTTTTGTTGAAAAAGGTCGTCATGTGAGCATTGACAGACCTAACCTAACCCCATCAGAATAAAACCCCTGAAAGGCTTGAAGATCTCGCCCAGGACCTGGAGGTAGTGATGCAAAAAGTGTAACAGCCCAAAGAACCTGGACACAAGGGAATCCAGAGGGAGAGAACCCCTGGGGAGGCTCGGGGTTGTGTTGATAACGTGAATGTTGGCGAAGAGTTGGCAGGACTCACCCTGGTGCACAGCAACGGTGCATCCTTGGCCATCGCAGTAGACCAGCGGATTCTCAGTCCATCCCCTCTCGTCAGAACACACACAGCACCCTCCAAGCATCTCCTTCATGCTGTGGTCCAGACGGTGACTAGATTAGCGGGCCAAGCTAGGCCAGCTGACGTCGATTTAATACCCCGCATCCCGCCTCAAGCGGGTACATATCACGTATCAGCTGTAATTTCGGGTGAGATTAAACTCCAGATGACGAAACAACAACGAAACTATCGTCCACGCGTGACACGTCCAATTGTCTCCCAACACGCGATAACCCCGAGGTCCTGGAAATAAAGTCACGGAATTATCACCTGAGGGTCGACGATTTTCACACCATCGTTATTACTCGGAGCTTTTTTTTTGTGGCCACTGGGCTCTTTTCGGGGGGGGACTGAGTTAGAAAAAAACTCGGGGGGTTTGTTATTCACGTAGGCGGCGATTATTTATTTCGCGAGGCGGCCATTTTATTTTGTTGTTCATTCACTGCGCATGCGTTTGCAGACCCCGCCATTCGCGCGGTGCATTCTGGAAGTTGCAGCGGGAATTGCCGTGGTTTTTTGAATTTTTTTAAAGGGATTTTGGGCTTCGAGAATTTGCCGGGAGTTTTTTTCTGTTTTGTTTTGTTTTTTTTTTTTTTGTCGTATTGAATATTTTATTAACTGACTTTTAGTTTTCAATGAAATCATCGATAGAAAACGGTGAGTTGTTTAGGACCTGAGGATTTGACTCCCGAGATAATTTTTTAACCAATAATTATCTAGCAAAACGCGCACTGCTCGCAAATTAATTCACCATATTCTCCCACTCCACTAGTTCTATTATTTTTATATACTATATACGTCTCATATGATGGCAGTACTTGAATTTATCTTACCGCATGCACATCGTATAAATCCTGAATTTCTGTGTCAATATAAAAAAAAATTGTAAAAATAAATTCAATCGACTCACTCATATCAATAAAAAAATCGATTTCTAACATGTCGGTATTCGGCACATTATCTCGATAACTACCGAGTTCACAAAAAAAAGTTACATAAACTTTTTATAGAGAATATCATAACGTATAAAAAAGTCTAATCACTTTTTTCTGTAAATTCGCCAGTTCCGGAAATATCGCCCGATAACTGAAACGTCAAATACGCAATCGGTATAAAAAATCGATCACATAATAATTTCAAATAATTCAAATAATTGTCAATAAATCAGATAATAATTACAGAATAATTACGAAATGGAGACAGGAGATTACACCATCAGGACGACCTCTCCCTCGGACCTGCCCCAGGTCCTGGACCTGATGAGAGAGAATTTCTACTTCGAGGAGAACATGTGCAAATTACTGTGCGAGAGATCGAAAATAACTGACGACGAGAGGGGAATCATAACTGAAATATCCGACGGATCCGTCAGGGCGATACTCCAGGGCTCGACGTGTTTCGTCGCGGTTCATTCCTCGGGGATCGTCGGGGCGAATTTGACTCTTTTGAGCGAAAATCCCGGGTGCGGGGAGGGAAAAGACGCCCTGGCCGGGATTTTTCCCTCGAATCCCCATTCCCCGGTCATCGAAGAGTACCACAAGTATCTCATGGACATCAACGACAGGGCGAACCTCTTCAACCGGTACCAGGTCAAAAACCTGATGGAATTCTACGCAGTTGCTGTTGATAAAAACCACAGGAGAAAGGGCATCGCCCAGGAACTCATCTCCAGGGGCATTTCCTGGGCTCGGGATCAGGCGATTCCTCTCGTTTTCGGAGTCTTCACGTCCCCTTTTTCAATGAAAAGCGCTCAGCGCGCTGGGATGACCAGCATCCTGGACATCGATCTACTGGAGTACAAGGATCACCTGGGGGAACCGATTTTCCAAGGAATTCCTGCGAATATCGTCAATGTCATGGTGCGGGAAACAAAAAATCTGTGACGGAGTTCTGGAATTTTTCATGGAATTTAGGAAACAAATGTTGAACTCAAATTTTGAAATAAAATTACGGAAAGAATCGAATTGTACCGAAAATTTTTTAATTAGTACATAAAGTTTAAATAAATTGTGAACGATTTTCCAGAGACCTGATGGAATTCTGGAAATCTCTCTGGAATTTATGAAAAAAAAAACTATTGATAAAATTAAAGTGAAATTGAATTAGAGAAAAATTTGAATTATGGTGGGAATTTTTGAATTAATAAATTAATTTTAAATAAATTGTGAACGATTTTCCAGAGCCCTGATGGAATTCTGGAAATCTCTCTGGAATTTATATAAAATAACTGCTGATAATATTAAATTAAAATTGAACTCAAAACAGAATTGCTTTATGCAGGTAATTTTTTAATTAATAATGAAAATTCAAATGAATTTTATAGTAAACAGAAATATTTCGAGCACAAAATTTTGGATTTGAAAGTTTAGAATTTTTTTTGTGTTTTCAATTTATTAAGGTTACTGTTTGGCTTCTGCATTCGACGGTAATAGAGGTTCTCCCCAAAACCAACGAGCGATAATAAAAATAAATTGACAATCTAGGTCAAGAGTCAGCGACTGCATCCCGGAGGCTTGAAATTCTTATCTCTGTGTGACTTTTTTAAGCAACACCTCATTGTTTAACAGAATTTACAATTCCCTCGTTATTCCAAGTGGATTCATTCATCTCCGTGAGTAGAATTGCTAATTGATTGGTTAATTGACTCGTATCTACCGAATTAATCGTCAAATTAGACAAATAAAATTTAACCCTTCGGTTTCAAGCGATAATTTCTGGGAAATTATCAATTTTAACCGGAAATGTCAAATGACTTTTTCAATCCAAAATTTAATAGGGTAGAAAAAAGTCCTTCTGTTTTTTTTTCCTTTGATCGATAGTTTTCAAGATAAATCGATAAATCTGCATCGAAGTGCTGAGACAGAAGTCAAATCGGAACTGAGAATTGATCGGTTTTCGATGATTATCTCGGAATTGGGGGTTAATACCGAAAATATTGTCATGACCTTTTTTCTAGAGGTAATCAAGAGCTACAAAAAAGGTCATTACGATAATTTTCGTATCTCACTTGAGTTCGAGATATTTAAAGTTATGTGACTGTATAATTCTGCTATCGATTTTTGTATTGAATTTTGATACGCGACTTGAATCGCAACAATCGCGATAAAACCCCACGGAATGCATCTTCGATTACTCGATGTACGTAATCATTCGGTATGATAATGATTCCGGAATTATTCAAGCAGACGTTACGGAAATTATTATTCACCGGATGAACCGAATACCAAAATGGCAAACCAGTTTTCGCCGATTTCGACTATTGACTAGATTTCAATGAAAATCCCGGAATCTAACGGAAATACTAAAATTTTTGTCAAAACCTTTTTTGTAGATCTGGCCAGTAGCTACAAAAAAGGTAAATACCAAAATTTGATTATCGCCTTTAGTTCCCGCGATATTCTCGAAATTCTCACCCAAACCGGTATTTCCAAAATTCCGAAATAAATTTTCTCTAAAAATTAATTTTCTAAATATATCACCAGGCGGTTGAAAACTTCCGGAGACTTTCCACCGCAAATCACGTGGAGGAAACCCAAATCACAAAGAAATCATGAAAAAATTCTCCTGAAAACCATTTTTTTTCAAAAAAAAAAAATCGGCAACCACATAAATTTTATTTTCCAATTAATAGATCAAAAAAAAATTATGGAAATCACCGAAAAAATATTCCCTGAATCAAGAAAAAATATTAATTCAACATTGAAGACTAAACTAATCAATTTGTTGTAATTAAAATTTATTATTTAAAATCATTGACAGATTTTGCTGCAGAGATTTTTGTAATTCCGTTTTGAATGCAGCAGAATTTTTTTTTTATCGAGGTGCGATATTGGAATTGAACGATAAATATTCTTATCTGTTTGCAAAATTATGTACTTCAATTGCTTGTGTCATGGGAGCATGTGTAAATGTGTATGTGCCTGTACATAAATAGAGAGTTATGTATTGAGAAAGATTGCAGTTTCAGTGTGTCGGGGACCTTCGACGGGTCTCGTTCGTTTCCAGTGGATCGACAAGGATTTATTCATTATGAAGTGCGTCATATTGTGTTTAAACAATTTATTTCACCAGAATATTTAATTAAAAAATTCAATTCCGTACTCTGATTAATTCCCAATCACGCTCTCATTCTTTATAAATCCTTTATCAATCATCGATCAATCGTTCATCAATCCTTAGAATAAATTGTCGTCAATTACCTCATTTGTTCAACAATCATTGTTATAATTATTGCTGCCAGTGAATCGTTTACTATTTCCGGTGATTTTTAAACTGCAATTTGAATTTTTGATTGTGCATTCAATGGAGACGATTCTTCATTAATTCCACAAGTTCGATAAAGTAAAAGGCGAATTGTTAGCATGTCATATCGGCTGGATGAATTACGTCATTGCTGATCCGATTATTGCAGAGAGAAATGTTGAAGTATTGATTATCTCAGTAATTAATAATCACTTTTGACAGCGGATAACTAAGCTAGAAAAAAAATAAGTTTGATTTTTTCGCTAAGTGGCAAGTGAATTTGATAACAACAAAATTTAGAGAAAAAAGTAATCTAAACTTTCGGTAGAGAATTTCATGATCTACAAAAACTATTTTTCACATTTTTTTCTAAAATCGATTGTTGCTCAGATAATTCGATGATAATCAACGCCCTATCACGGGGCTCAAATTAGTAGAAAAAGTCACGTTCTGAAGTCTTCGTAATTGTTTAATTATCTCGTTAACAACTAATTTTGAAAAAAAATGTTATATAAACTTTGTTGTAGAGAATTTTATAATCTAAAAAAAATGAATTATCATATTTTTTTGTAAATTCGATATTTCCCGAGATAATGAAATATTTGTAAAACTATAAATTTGCACGAATTCGTAATTTGACGTTTAATGGAGGAGTAATTTAATTTGCAGTACCCGCAAGAGAATGCCGTCATACCGTCCCTGGGGCTCGACGGAGGACGGTGCCATCGAGTTTGAGTCCATGACGACGGAAACCCTGCCTGGAGCCCTGGAGGTCATAAAAGAGTCATTTTTTACAGATGAGAACACATGTCGTGGGGTTGAGATTCTCTCGGAGCCTGGAGCATCATCGGAGCTTGAAGATCTCTGCCTCAATGCAGCTCAGGATGGGGTCAGTGTCGTCGCCATCGACGTCGCAACAGGAAAAGTCGTCGGTGCGTCTTTCAACAAGATCCAGGTGATGACCATCACCTGCTCCTGAAGCTTCCAAGAAAAAACTTTCTCAAGTCTCAGTTACTAACCAATTATCTCGACAACCAATAATTCTAGAAGAAAATATGAAATAACCATTTTTGTAGAGAATTTCTTGAGCTCCAAAAAATGTTTATGCAATTTTCCTCTGAAATTGACAGTTCTGGAGATAATTGCGAAATTATCAAATCTGTAATCGAGGATAAATCCCGCAACTGACGAATTGATTTCATGTTCTCAAGTCCCAATTACTGTCTAATTATTTCGACAGCCAATGGTTTTAGAAGAAAAAGTGAAAAAATCATTTTTGGAGAAAATTCGATGAGCTTCAAAAAATGTTTATAAGATTTTCCTCTAAATTCAATCCTTCTGGACTTAATGGGGAAATTATTAAACCTGTACTCAACGGTCAATCCGATTAGTAATGGATTGATTATTGGATTGATTTCGCGTTACAGATGCAGCAAAAACCCGGGGAAAAATCGGCGTTCGAGGTTTTCAGTGAGACTTGCAAGTACAAATCTTCGAAAGCGCTGATGGACGTGATGATCCTGGTGGACTCCAAGGTGGATTTATTCAAGCACTACAACGTCGACTGCATTCTCGAGGTGATGTTCCTGGTGACAGCGAGATCTCACAGAGGGAAGAGGATAGCTGAGCTCCTGATGGCCTCATCCATCGAGATAGCAAGACAACTCAAATGTCATAAAGACGTACAAACGCCTGTGGAGATCCAGGGAACAAACGTAATCACGAATCCGAATTGTGTTCCTGGTCTAGTCTCCGCGATAGCGTCCTCGAACTACTCTCAGAGGATCGCCGAGAAGCTGGGGTTCCATTCTCTAGCTGAAATCAAATTCGAGGACTTTGTCTTCAACGGAAAAAAAGTTAGTGAACGAATTGATGATGTTCACAAGAGCTGGAGGCTAGTGGCCAAACGAATTTGAATAACTCCTAAATCAATTGTTTTATTTCCTGCCATATCTCCGGATTCATGGGAGATACGGCAATTTGTGTGAGAATTTTATTGTAGGAAATTTCATGAACTACAAAAATTTTTTTAACACGAATTTCGATATCTCCAGTAGATTTTGAGATATTCTGCAGACACTGGTTCTATTTTTACTCGTGATAATTTGAAATTGCTCGATTGGTTTTTGGCGAATCGTTCGGAATCCAGGAAAAATACGATCATTTGTTCTGGAACTTTTTTGTAGAGAATTCCCCGAGCCAGATAAAAGTTCTTAACAAAAATACTCGTATCTCTCGCGAGTTCAGAGGTATACGCCAAAAACTCATTCGAACTTTCATTTTTCTGGAAAAGCTCATTCTTCGAGGAAAGAAGTTATTAATTAGTGCATCCACACGTGTTATATCTGTGGTCTAATGAGTCTTGTTTATTTATAATGAAGTTGTTGAGCACAAAGTCTATTAAACCCTCGAAATATTTTATTTTTATAAACGAAATCCCCTAGTTATTGTTCTCTCGTTTTGTAGAAAGGTTGTAAATCAAATAGAATGAATAAAATATCTTTCTCATGTATGAATGACGAGGAAATTTCCACTCCATCCAATTCAGTTCAATTCTCGTAAAATCGAGTTACTCAAGCGCTGAATACTTCATTAAAGCCGCAGCGCAGTTTCTGCACTAGCTGAAACCATCAATAAAAAACATGAAAACTGCAAATTTTTATTAAATAATTCTCTCAACAGCGCACGATCAGCACAATAATTATATTTTCATTTAATAAAGATAAAGTCTGTGCTAATAAAAAAACAATTAAATCTTGTGAATGGAATCAATGACAATAATATTATTTTATTTTAATCCAACGGTTTCAATAATTTATCTCAATGGATTCATTCATACATTCAATACCAAATTTCAAAAATTGTTAACGTTAGATAGACAATACATGCGGGCGTTAACAGAAAACGCCCAATCCCCTTTCATTTTCAAGATGAATGAAAAATTAAGTGATTGCTTTTAATTGAAATAAAATTAAAAGTCCTATAATTGGAGATCCAGACGACTTTGTAATTAAAATTTAAAGAATTTTCTAAGTGTCCACAAAAAAAAACACAAACTGTGAAACAAGAGAAATAAATCATAATTTACGAGACGAAAAAAAATAAAACAAATTGGATTACAAGAAAAAATTGAACACACAAATGAAAAAATTATTAAAACAAAATTGGATAAAAAAATAAAAAGAACATTACAAAAAGTAGGATCAATAAAAAATCATTAGATGACATTTTAAAGTAAATGGAATGATTAGTATTTTCCATGTGTATTCTATTCGGCTTTAACAGCTTCAACGATTTATCAGAATGTTTGCGCAATGAAATATCTGGAATTGCTATTGAAAAGTGGTAATTGGATTGCCTCATTTCCCAATCTGTGCTTGTGAGACTTCCCTCTTTGGCATCAATTCCGGGTCATCCGTCCCATTGCGCCCATTGGAGCGAAATCCAGAAAATCGGAAAACACGTGGCCTTGACACCCATTCATCAATCGATCGGCGGTTGAATTATCGGGGATTTATTCACCCCCCGGCGTTCAGTCGTTGTTCGCGATCCGGAGATATGGTGCAATTGTAACTAATGGTCTCCGGGGATATGTACATGTACCAGGAACAATGGAAAATTGTCTAGATCGTGGTGGAGGACTAGTCGTGCCAATGAAACTCGTTTGAACGAGTGCCGGGTTACGGAGGCTGCGTGGAAATCTGAGATCCCCTTCAGATGAGGCTCGAGTGTCTCCGAGAGAGGTTCAAATAATTGCATGTCGAAAGGTAAGCCCACAATGGTTTTATCTAATAAAATTACATCAGTAATCATCTTAACATTTGTAATTGCAGAAGTGATCGCCTCAGAACAGAGGAAATCCACTTGTGCTTGTTATTATCGGTTTATCTCGAAAACTATTCTTTCCACGAGGAAACGTTAAAGAACTTTTTTGTGGATCGCTACATTTTGGATGTAAAAGCTTTTGTCACTTTTCATCGTAAATCCGGTAGTTTTCGATTTTTTTTTTATTTTTAATCAAAGATTTCGATTTAGCCGATTTTTTTTTCATTCCTGCAGTCTAGTTTTTGCGGGTGAATTACTGGAGAAGTAGCGCTTGTAGCGAAAAAATGAATAGAAGGTTTTTTGTGCAGAATTTTAAGGGGTGGAAAAAAGTCTTATAAGCTTTTTGGGTGGGAATAATAGTTTTGGAGATAAATGGGATTTAGTTGGGGAGTAATTAGCGGTTTTTTGGGGATCGATTGATGTTGTTAATTGATTGATGGAGAATTGATTGATTTTTGTGGTTTCAGGAAAATGTTCGGCTCTTCGCAGGCAGGACCTTTCGGTACCATCGAGTATCGACTACTCACGGAGGATAAAATCGAATCGGCGATCGAGATTCAGCAGAAGTCGATGCGTCAGGAGAATGTGGCCCTTGGGGTCGGCCTCTACGAAGAAGAGGGCGGTCCCGAGGCCATGAAGACCGTTTTCTACGAGGTTATTAAAGACAATTGCACTATTGTTGCAATTGACGTCAAAACCGAGGAAGTCGTCGCTGTATCGTTTAACAAACTGCATGTGAGTTTGATTTACTTGACATTTCCATGGATATAAATCAACAGTGACATTTTCATTCAAACCGGAATTATCTCGGTAACAATTGGATTGAGAAAAAAACTTGAAAAGTCTTTTTTGTTGCTCTGAAAATTCTCTACAAATGATTCCTCTAACATTTTTCTCGGAATTTACTCCTTGGCGAGATAATTGAACGATCGGTAACCTGAAATTTCTCTAATCACAATTATTACAATCAAAATGAAAATTAATTAATGTAAAAATATTGGAACACGGAGTGATTTTAGAAAAAAAAATCATAAGACTTTTTAGGAGGGAAGGAAATTCTCAAGAAAATATTCAAACGACTTTAAGCTCTAAATCGCCTAATTATTGATATAATTTTGTTTTTTGTTTCAAAATTGAAGTTTGATAAATATGAAAATATCTCGGAACAGAGGGATCGTGGGAAAAAATGAGATTTGACTTTTTTGTAGCTAAAAAAATTTCCAACAATAAAGTCAAACGACATTTTTTTATGAATCCCCTCGTTTCCTCGTAAATCATCAATTGACTCCACTCGTGATAGCTTGACCCCTCTAATTCCTCTTCTTCAAGGCTCCATTACCCATCGGCGAGACAGATCCTCTCGAAGAAGTGGTGAGGAACCACGTGAAGGCACGTTCCAGTCTCGCTCTTATTGAGTTCCTCAGTGACGTAAGTATCCTAAAGAATTCCAAGGAATTCCAAACTCGAAAAAAAAACGAAATTTCATGAACGAATTTGTGAAAAGGTGGAGTCCAGGGTAGACCTCTTCGAGAGGTACAACGTCAGCGGTGCGATGGAGGTCTTCTACGTCGGGACAGACCCCAAATATCGGGGATTTCGAATTGGCCACGGGGTGGTGGCTGCATCCCTGGCACTCGCCAGGGGTCTGAAAAAATGCGGAACTGCCCAGAATAAAATCACTCCCGAAGTCGCTTTCGGAGTTTTCACTTCGAATTATAGCCAGAGGATTGCGGATATCCTCAAGTTCGAGTGGCTAGAGACCGTCAACTACACGGATTACGAGTACTGGGGGAAAACCATGGCCGAGAGGATCGGAACCGAGCACAAGTGCGCGAAACTCGGGGCGGTGAGGCTGTGAATCGATTCCACACTTTTCTTCCGATATCTCCGCTACTTAACAAGATAGCCTTATTTTCATGAGAACCTTTTTCCTAGAGTGGAATAAGACCTACGAAAAAGGTTCTAACAAAAAATTCACTATCTCTCTCAGATTCCGAAATTTTCATCGAGAACTCTATGAGGAATCGAGTCGAAAGTGGTAATGTGAAATAAGTTGAATTTGACAATTTTCCTGAATATCAGATAATCGAAAAACTATCAATTATACCAGGAAATGTCAAAAAATCTTTTTCGTCGGGAACTTAATAAGTTACAAAAACGTTCTCTAAACATTTCCCTCGATAATGGATACTTCCCGAGATAATTCGGTTATTAAGAAGAAAACTAGAAAATCAACAGAACTCGTTTTTATTCTCTCGTTGATGAGAAAAATTTGAGAAATGAATAAACGTCAGTCACCCCTGCATTATTCAGCTCCTTCAGGGCATGGGGTAATTCTTCATCTCAGCACATAATTTTTTCATGAAATATTATGTCGTGTCTCAAAACCCTGAAAAATCCTCCGCTGGAACAAGAAAAATCAACGATGCGGACAGTTTCATTTTTTCAATTTCATTTATTTAAATATGGAATAGTCATAAAATGCACTTGATACATATTTCCAAATGATGATTCTTCATGACATTAAACCAAATACTCTTACTTTATTAAATTTCTTTCATCTTTTTTTAAAATTCATTCAGGCAGAGGAGTAGCTGCCATTCGCTGGACTAGAGATTTCACTACTGCTTTATTGCGTGTCCACCATTCGTGACAATCATTCATTTTTTTTTCATGATAATGTTATAGTTTCTGCGCTGACTGATGCACCCGAAGTGTCAAAAACCCTCCGAGCATTAGCGCACACTGAGAAAAGCCTTATTATACTTGAACAATTTTTTTTAAACCTAATTCTTGCAGAGAATCAGTTTTTCGGCGATATCTCGATACCCAGTAGAGCTATAAAAAAAATCGCTCCATATCTTTCGTAGAGAATAAAAAAACGAAAAAAAAGCATTCAGTTGAAAAAAGTCGTAAGTTCAATGGCTTCCAAGATATTCACAGATATCCCCGAAAAACTGCATTCTCGATAATTTTGGGGTATAAATTATAATTACAATTGGAAATTCTACCGAAAAAAAATAATAAATATTACCGAATAGATCAGTTAATTTACGATAAAAGATAACGACCCAGTCTGTTAAGTTAACCTCTGTCAAAAAATTCTGTACATTATCCATACGTTAAAAATTCTTCAGCTATGATTCGCCAACTTCGTCGAAAAAAAAAAATTAAAAAAATGTGAAAAGTGTCATTGTTCTTCAATTATTGTTTTTCATTAGGAATAATTCGATTACCGTTATCAAAGGCACCGAATGGACCGCGCAATACTACAAAAAAGCACGGATTACAGTTAATTATTTATTTGGCAGTGATCGAGGCCCTGAAGGTGATAAACAATCCTCGATTCCAGTGTCTTATCAATCTCGATATTTCCAGTGTCTAGCGTTACTACTGGCTCTCATCGTGGAAATATTGAAATTTTTAAAAACAAATTGACAAATTGCCTCGTGGGATCATTTCGTCAGTAATCTGGCTCGTTGTTTTTTCATACTCATACCATTACGGGTTTCATCATCAAATGAATCAGTGGATATGGAGGTTCTTTGGTAAATGACGGGGGAGAACTAGGAGTTGAGGAAAGAACATGAGAATGCCAACGTGATGAATTATTCAGCAATGAAGTCACAAAACGATTAATTTTTCTCCAATACCTCGAGACCCTCTGGAGATACGACCATTTGTACGGGACCTTTTTTGTGGAAAATTTCTTCACCTACAAAAAAGTTCCTACAAAATTTTCCTCCATCCCCCATCGATCCCGAGATATCCAGCAAAAACCGACTCCACGTTTATTTTCATTAACTGAAAACACTGCGATCAGTTTTTAAGGAATATCTTAACAACTCCTGGAGATACAACAATTCGTGTATAACCTTTTTTGCAGCTGGTGAAATTCTCTGCAAAAAAGGTCCTACAAAAATTTTTCCAACTCCTCCAGATTCCAAGATATTCCCGACAAGAAAACTCAAACATCGTTTTGTCCCTCATCTCCTGAATTTACAATAACTATTGCATGATTTCCCTCCATATTTTCTGCTTGAGATGTCGGCATTACCTAACTTACCCTAACGTAATTCCATAACTGATAAGCTTAATAAAAAAAAAACGATACTGTGGACCAAATTCGTCAACAAATATCCCATCTCAAGAAAAGCTCCTAAACCTAAAACCTATCAAAATAAAAAGATACAAAAAAAAGAAGATAATAACCTTGGCAAAAAACATTGACAGTTGGCATCAATCGGTGTAAAAAACGTGGCCTACTAATGATCGACGTAAAAAACACTCATAAAGTCCTGTAATAAGAGCCTAGACTCAGTCTGTCGCGTTCTCTCTCAATCTTTAAAAAGCCCTAATTTTACCCTCAAAATAACCCCCGAAAATTATCACGAATGTTCCTCAGGGTATTGATACGATCAGACGAATTTCAAAAACTCCATTTCCCTTCATCCTCGAGAGTCGCTCAGGACTCCCCGAGCCCCAGAAGTCCTCCAAGGACCTCTCAGGCCTCCAGAAAACCCTCCAAGACCCCTGAGGCCCTCACAAATCTCCTCATGAGGCCTGAGGCCCCCGAAAATTCCCAAGGAATTCCCCAGAAATCCCCTCAGGATCTCTCAAGATCTTCCAAACCCCCCGAGGTCCTGCCAAGTAATCGCGCCGGCGCGAAACCCTTGAGAAAAGAAAAAACTCCAAAATCCCCTTCACGACCTGTAAATTCTGATAACATCCCTGATGGGTGCCCTGCAGAGAGGGCAGTGTCCTCCTCCCTTTCCCCTCCACTGTTGAATAGCACAAGGATAACACATGCACATGTGCCCACACATATACAGCACCGAGTCAATATTTCTCTCATAGCAGATGGAGCACTCACTGGGCTGTCCAGGTGTTGGCTGGAGTCTCTCACTCCACTGCTGCAGATGCGATGACTGTGAAGCCAGTGTTGATGTATCAATGCTCTGATAATTAACAGGATCAACATACGTAGATGATCCAGTGCTGCTCATGGTACCAGTGAGAAGAGGTGGTGATGTGCTCTGTCTTCCATGATTGCCAGAATGATGATTAACTGGAGAGACAGCAGCTGTTGGTGCTGGTGTTGGGGTTGGATTTGAGTGAAAGCTCGGTGAATTTCTTACACCTGTTGTACCATAAATTGGCTGAGGTGTTGCTGGATATCCTGGCTGGGGTGGAAGGTTTACGACCAGAACTGTACCACCACCAACTGTCGGCTTGAACTGCACCATTTCTGAGAACCTGGAGAGCTCTGTTGCTGCATTTGAGTGATTTGACTGCTGCTGGGGTGGAGCTGGTGAATTGACAACTTGACGTTGTCGTGGAGGTGATGTTGGTCTGCTTGCGAGCATTCTAACTCTCTGGGTGCTACCGTAGACATCGACAAATGCCCACAGCTGGAGACTCTCGTCGACGTGCATCACAACGTTTGGGGGGCCACCGTTTTTCGACATCTGGACCTCGCCGTAGTGGGTGACAGTGAAGGCGATCTCGTCACCTGGTTGGGGGCTCGATGCCACGTCCTTAGAGACCACCCAGTACTCTGGGCGATCAAGCAGGAGATCACTGTCGTCCGGTAGATCCTCGGGGGTCAGTCTCGATGGGTCGCACGATGTCAGGCCCAGGGCAAGTGCACCGACATACATCGGCTCTGTTGACAGCACTTGCACCACCAGGCGTTCACCCAGCAAAAGGGGACGACTCGTGAAAGCATAACCGTGACAGAATTCTGTGTCTGAACGCGTTGCCACGCACTGCTGATTGCTGAATCTTATGTTTCGGCCACGAGTCCTAGAGAAATTCAAATTTTACTTTAGAGTGATTTTTGGCGATTCAATAATGAATTTTTTAGCTGATTATTGCTCAGGAATTATCAATGAATAAATGCGAAATTATTTGGGTAAGAAATGATTTTAGAAGACAAGGTCATAATACGTTTTAGCAGAGGAGAAGATCGACAAGAAAATTAGATTCATCGAATTATTGAATTTCAATTATTGTGATGATTTTCGTGGATTTAAGTAATTTTTTCGTAGTTTGCATGCAGTTAATTGTGAGGAATGGAAATACTAACGGATGAAAAGGTAGAGGTGCGAATAGTACTCCAGGCGGTTGAAACCTGAGCCCAGGCAGCTCGACATCAGGCTCATGGTGTATACAGACATTCTGCATAGACGGTACAATAATTCTCTCAACAACATCCCTTCCGGCATTACTGGCATCATCCATAGCCGTGTGTCTGCTTGGCTGTGCATTATCTTCATTACTGTGTTCAGCCCCTCTGCGAATATTATTGAAGTGCTGTCTGTTGGGATCAACCAATTCGATAGCTGTACTATTTCCATAAACATCGATAACAGCCCACAGGGGTCCCCTTGTCTCAACACCACCGAAGAAAACACCCTTTTCCTCTCCATTAACACCAAAGTGTACATCACCAGCTGACGTTACGTAGTAAAATAAGACTGTGTCATGAGCAGCGAATCTCTCTGCAAGTGCTTTTGCCCAGTAACCGGGTTTATTCGTCAAATCTGGGCACGCAAATTTTGGAAGACAATTTCGCAAGTGAATCGGATCATTACTGGTAAATCCAAATCTTATCACTCCTGACCAGTTGTTCGACATCTCCAGGAACTTCACACAGACCTGGGGAAACAATAATTATTTATATCGATACACATTCAATTTTTTCATCGGAAAATGCGAGAAAGGAATCGTATGTGTTTTGAATTATTGAATTATCTTGATAATGAGTCAATTGAAGAAAAAATGTGACTTTTAATTTTATCTAGAGAATTTTGTATTCTGCAAGAAGTTCTTACGAAATTTTTCGGTAGAATTCACAGATCGCTGGATATTACAAAAAAATCAAGGATACATTATAGTGTGGGTTTGACCTTTGAAAAATTAGCGAATTAAAAACCAGACAATCGTGTGAGGCGCATCTATATTAGGAATTCGGAATAGTTTAATAATTACAAATATTCTTCAGCTAAGTCTCCACCCACGGTTGCTTATTATCACCGGAAAAAAAAATAATCGAGTGATAGGGAATGCGTGTGGGCAGGGGTTCGAGATTGCGCCAGCGGCCAAGGTTGAAAAATTTTTCCCTCCTTCAAATCTAATTTCACGGTGGAATAAAGAGAGGCAGTCGTTCCGCGACAGTGGAAAATGGTGAGCAAAAAAATAAGACAGAAAAAAAAAAAGGTGGAACAAGAGAAAAACCGTGAATGACCGGTACCTTTTCACCGATGCGAACGGGCCGAGTGCTGAATGTTATTCCTTTGCAGAAACTCTCGTGTCTTCTCGCTATTGTACCACCATTGCACAGAGTTATATTATCCCCGTGGACTTGATGGTGAAATGTCAGGGGAGGCAGGTTGTTCGTTCCTGCGCTTGATGATCTTGGTGCTGCAACACAAAACAAGAAATTTATTTTCCAACCGCTCATCGAACAACGCAAACTTCCAAAATCCTCATCACTTCACAATTAAAACAATTAATTAATCAACTCGGGACTGACTATTAAAATTTTCATAGAGTCATTAATTTTTCGGGGTAAAATATTCGGAATTTTAATTTAACTCAATAATTCTCTGACGTAATTCAAATAATGGAATAGTTAAAATAATGACAGCAACATTGAATAATAATAATTAATTAATCAACGCCGGCCTGATTATTAAATTTTTATAAAGTGAATTTTTTTTTACGTAAAATACTCGGAATTTTAATTTGAAACTCGATTTTTCTCCGGTGTAATTGAAATAATGGAATAGTTGGAATGATAACTGTTGGATAATTGGGAGTAATGAGGGGTAATTGAAAATAATAAAGAAAAAGGAAAGTGCCTTCATAAATCGCGGAAAAGACAGTGTGAACGCGGGTTCTCATGTTATGAGATAATATGGTGTAAAAAGAATCGGTCCCCGAGGAAATCCGAGCTGATTCGTCCGGTTCGAGAGTCAGAACCCCACTGATAGCTATCAATAACCCGAAAGGTGTACTGAGTATGTACAAGTGCAAGTGAAGGAGTCTTGACGTCCTGCGGCGACCGGAAACCGCACGCGCCGTGACGGAAGTGCAAAAATCCCCGCTCCAAATAGCGGATGAGGCCGATACGCTCTCTTGGCAAAACGCCAAAACCAGATACCCAGGACAATCGAGTTCCTGAGGATGTTTCTAAAAAAAATAATGAATCCAAAACAGCGGAAGTGGCGCGATAATCAGGGAAACTAATTAACCAGATGAGTCGAGTGACGAGTTGAGATTAATTGTGCCATGAGAAAAAAATAATAAATTCGTCAATGATTTATTTATTTAAGAGAATTATGTTTTTTTTTACGTTATATTTCTTTTAGATGATGATGATGAGGGAGATGTCCTTGGATAAACTCCACTGATTATCATTAATTTTCTTTAAATACCGAACGCACGCAATTGTTCTGATGGAACCCTGAATTGTTTGATTGGAATCATCCTTCCAGTGAATTTAATTATTCCGTTTGAACTTGTGAATCCCTGAACCAATGATTCCAATGATTCCATCGGAATCATCCCTCCCCTGAACTCAATTGTTGAACTCATAATATGTACTTCTCTCAAGTAAATGAATTCGTGACAAAAATATTTTTTTTCCAGCGTGTCGAGATAAAACAGAGTTCCAACGGTACGTTTCAGGATTTTCCCACGGTTAAGTAACATTGCTCCTGCTCCTGGTGGATTAGCACTGGCTCCCGCTTACAAATCGACCTCGGATTTTTATTATTATCGGTGATATATCAGTTGTTGAGAATCAACTTTTCATCATTGAAATCATTTCAATAATTTTTGCAATGGAAATAACAAATTACTCCACAACGATTGACCATTACTTTCTAATTATCTCATTAACCGAAATTTCTCGATACAAGAAGTTGTTTCCCACGTCAAATAATGAAATAATTTTTTAATTACTGAACTCGAAGTTCAATTGATTTACAGATTTTTTAGATGACATTTTTGACATGAAAAAAAATGACATGAAAAAAAAAATTCGATATCCGAGATGTAGTTTGATTTTCTCCATCGATCTTTCTGATGAAATCATTTGGAAAGGTCCGTTTCACCGATAGAAATCCATCAGCTAGATGACGATTGCTTTGCGGCGTTCGCCACAATGACTATCAAAAAGTTTCGATTCAATCAAGCAAATCGAAAGTCGAGCTTATATCCTAAACCCCCGGGTTAAAACGTCGGAAGGGCATTCAACCCATCGATGCAAATACTCTTTGACACACTACATCCATCAGGAAGAAAGACCCAACATTTTTCCAGGGAATATGATGTGCATTGCGGTCTGAGATACGCATTAATGCTCAGATAATCACAAGGATCCCCGCAAATATTATTTTTCATAATTTTCTATCGAAAATGAAATAGCAACAAAATAATCATTCACTATTTCCCCCAACATCAATAGCTTTCAAGATAAACGGATGAGTAAGAAAAATATTTTAAGACCTCACTGCTAAATTTGTTTAGCATTGAATAATCCTAGAACCCAAGAAAATCAAAGTCTGCGATTCCCCCTGATTTCGTAATCTCATTGTTGGCAGCGAGAGGTGATTAGGAAAGATAAAAAAAATTTTTCCTCACTCTTATCTGCTTTCTGCGCTTTACCTATTTCCCCTTGTCATTGTTTAGTTTGAGTAAAAGATTGAAGCAGATAAGATACTTGACTGGTATCTCCGTTGTAAACGGTCACATGACTAAGTGCCAAAAAGGAATAACATCCTGAAATTAAGGTGAATGTTCTCCACCTGGGGCTTGTTTTCTCTTGATTGTAGACTTATGATTTTCTCCTCGGAGTAAAACTCAGTATTGGCTTCTTTGTTCGTGTTGTCCGTTCAGGGCGTACAAGCAATCGACCTCATCCCAGCGGGTTGCTGGCCTTCTCTCCTCAATACACGCGTTTTCTACGTAATATCATAGGTACATACAGGCCTCCTGGTCATACCATGCAATTCTTCTCTCTCTGACACGCGTGGGAAGCCCGTGGCACACATAGTAACTGAAGCTACATCGTGAGATATTCTCGTGCCTCCATCCAATTCCCGATGAGACAAAAAAATAAAGACAATCCACCTGACCCCTCGATATTTGTCTGCTCCAGATCCATCGACAAAAGGGATGATGGGAGCCAAGAGTGAACTGACACTTTGCGGTTTCCACTCTCCCATGAAACAGCTATTCGTCACGTCACACTGTGCACGCTGAATTTGAATCATCGATAACTCGATATTGGCTGAGTTAAATTCAACATTTGTGATACCATTTTCAAGGTACAGGTGTGATCTTGAAAATAATCCAGGACTCATTGATATTTAATCGTCTGGCTTGGAGTTATGGTGCCTTGAGCGAATGCCAAGCTCAACCTCTCAGCGTTGAGACGTTCGGACCTCGCTTGCAGCGGACAAAGAACAACCCCACGACACAATTTCCAATTGTCTTCCTCATCTCCTGCGGAAGTTTCACGGCATTTATCACCGGGCCCAGTCATCAGACGACTCATCGAAAGCGCTTAACGGATAAGAGAGAGAGACAGATGCATAAAAACAAGTACAAAACACGCGGCGCACTTTCCCACGGCCGACGCCGTGATCTTTGCTGCTAAGTGCGCCTATGTACCCTAGGATCGGGGCCGCTCCTCAATCCCTCTCACTCTTCATTTATCCCATCGTCTCACTCCACAACTATTTCTATTCCGTTCGGGGCATATCCTTCGGTTTCAAACATCAACCCAGTCCCCACCGTTTTCCCTTCTCCTATTTTCAAATAGCCTAGAAGGAGGGGTGAGAGGGGCACAAGGGGCCTTATGCAACTCGCCTATGGGGTATCATCCGTGTAGCATACCAACCGCTAACTACAGAGCATGAAACGAGTACCTTGATTGTGGGCGTGTTGGTGGTATTTTAAATTTTTTAAATTCCTGAATTTTTGATTCTACTCCGAACAAGGAAATCAATAGCTCTCCGGAATTATCCCATTTTTCCTTCTCGGACCTGTTTTTTTTTTTTCCTGTTGCAATTTTCCTCAATTGCATAATTGGAAAATGGAGGAGAAAATCTCGAAATTTATCGCATCTTCGCTAGTTTTTGATTAAATGCATTCGCGAATTTTTTTGCGCAGATGCTATTAGTAACGTTTTTTGTTTGTACTTTGTTTTCCTCGCTACACACGTGCGCTGTAAACTGACGGTTAATGTATTTTACTTTACAACGTGCTTTTGACACGGGAGATGCGTCGTAAACCGTAAATGGCGTCAAGCCATCGTCGGAATTGAAAGCTGTCGTTACTAGTTATTTTCCAAATTTTTGGCATTTTTCAACGGTGAAAAACGGTTTTCAAATTCGAAAATAAAAAATTTCGATTTTATTTCTGCGGATAAATATTGCGATTAATAATTGAATTTAAAAAAAAGAGCTCTCGTTGGGGCTCATCCCCTTAGAAAAATATCCCATCCCCTGGAAAAAATATCCTTCACCATTTCGTGAACAGTGAAATTCCCTCCGGTCGAATGCACCGAACAATCGGACTCAAACGAGCTGCCACCCCCTGGGAAAATCCTCACAACCGGGCCATTCCCAAAGTGCTATCCCAATGCGAGGGTGTACTGCGTCTCTGTGGTACCCACATCTGTCGTCTCGCACGTATCTTAACGGTCCGTGGGGTCGAGACGTGCTCGACTAAAAATAAAAGAAGCCCTCAAGTGCATACACTATTCCCCAGCCCTAGTCAACCTCTCGACCGCAGGAAACTGTTCTGTTCATGAGTTTTGCCTCAATCCGGAAGCTAATTAATTACATCTCATCAAATCTCTCAAAAGGAATGGCGAACGGTACAAAATAAAACGCAAAAAAAAAATTTTTTCAATTGAAAATAACCGAAGATAAATTTCATGACAAAGAAAAAACTCTAGATCTGATCAAAAATCCCGTCTCAACTTAAATTAAAAAATTAATGCAAATACGATTTGTTGGAGACGAGCCACCCGTGAATTTTCCCTTAAAATTTGCCCCGAAATATAAAAAACTCACCAATAGCACCGGACAATCTTAACCTAGCGACCCTAGTGGCTCTGCAAACGGTCATGGGTCTCCTGTATCTCAATTCCAGCGACATCCTTTGATTCAAATAACTGGCGCGCACCGCTCGACCAATCCTTCCCCCCGAAAAATCCGCCCACTGCGTCGCCTCGACGCGCCGGGATTCCCTCGTCTACCGATTCGCAAAAAAAAAAGCGAAACGCGATTAAAAAACCGACGTAAAAATTTCACAGCGAGAAAAAAAGACGAGCGTTTCCATAAAACGTGAGTCACGCCGGACGCCAGTGGAACGACTGGTCCCGAGCAGAAAACGAGACATGAACCGGGGGCCCGGTGGCAGCTGCTGGTGCGCCAAGCGTCCGCCACCGCCCCAAGACCGCCACTGCCCCGCCATTGTCTATCACCCATAACACGCGTCCTTTCCCTTCTCCAGGAATTGATAACAGTCATTCATCAAATCCACGGTTCAACCTATCAGATCAATATCACCACCTGAGTTACCTGAATCACCTGAATCATCTGAATCATCTGGATGTCTATTGTCCTCCATGAACTTCACCATTGTTAACCATTGTTTATTGTCTGTGAAACCCCGTAACGAATAATTTAAATTCAAAATTTAATTTTGAAATTATTAAAAAATAGAATTGCGACAAAAAAAATATTGATAAAACTGAAATTTTTGTTGTGGGAAGAATGAAATTTAGATTTTACTCATCAGTTAAAGTAGATTAGTTTATAAAAAATTGGAAACAATATTGAAGTGAGCAAATTAACCGGGAATTAATCGATACATCGAATGAGGATCGATTGATAATGAGAGAAAATATGTTTTTTTTCCAACGACCAATAATTATTAATTAAAAAATGAAAATTCAGGAAAAATCGTGATAATCCTGTGAAATTAATAATCAATCGGTTATCACAACTGATTGTCAATTAATTAAGGAATAATTCTTCCGTTAATTTCGATACGGAAAATCGAAGAAAAATTCTAGAATTCTTTCGTTGGGGATGAGGCGGTCTTGTTTCTGGATAGTGTCTTCGTATCACAAGGTGTTTTTTTTTTATCGAAATTTATCTGAAACTGCTTTTGGATTTTCTCGGCATCGGCATTTGCAGCTGTCGCACGACGGAAAGGGGATGCATTTGCTATGGTATATGTGGGCCAGCAGCCCCTCGGTTCAACCGTCGTGCACCACCTGGCCCTATTGCCCCCCTCCCCATCAATTCCCCCCTCGGTCCCCCCTCGTGAAAGCCGAAGGGCTTCTTTCTTTATTTCCCCCTGTTGCTCCGGACAAAGAGATGGTTCTGTCATTCAAGAGTTCAGGATTTTCCGTTTGATGGCATCACCCCAACGATTTCTATGAACTGATACGGAAAAATCTGAGTTCCATAGAATTTTCGAGAATTTTTCCATCGGTTTTTCAATTGAAGGAAGAAATTGTTATTAATTTTGAGGAATAATCTATTCTTGATTGAATTTCAGAATTCTAGAGGAGAATTTTTTTTGGGAAATTTTTTAGATATGTCGTAAATCGAAACCTATGGAAAATGACGGAAAAGTTATAAGAACATTTTTTGTGGGAAATTTTGTCAACAATAAAAAAGGTTCACACATCAAATTCCGTATCTGTCCTAGAACGCGAGATATTTACTAAAAACTGAATGTTAAAAAACGTCAAAACGTAAAATCGATTCAATAGATGTAATTGATTATCATTTAATTACTCATCATAAAATTTCCCTATAATTCCATTAATTCAAACTCATGACTCATTAATTTACAATAATTCCAAAATAATAATTAATCGCGATTTAAATGGGGTCTAATCCCCAGAAATCCAAGAGCCTCAAAAAGTCGTCAATTAAATCATCAAATCTTTTATTCTTCAGTTACTGAAAAAACCTCGTAATTAATTCCAGAAATTGATGAATTTCTGCTTAATGACGATGAAAGACAATCCCCTCCCCTTAAAGTGGCGCAATGCCTCTGGACAATGGGGCATTCACACAAGAAATTCAATGGATCTCGAGAAATTTCGTTATTGGATTAATAACCCGGTGTTATCTAGCCCACCGGATGGTTTGAGCACCTGAGGCCCTGGGGAATGTCATCACCACCCACATCCACCCCATGGGGTGGGGTTATTCGCATGGGGAATTGTATTGGGACAGTGGCTCTATCGATCGGCTCTCGTCGTTCCCCTGCCAACCGAAAACACCATTTCCAAGGGGTCATCCCATGAATTCTCTATGGGTACTTTCACCTGACGACTCGACGCACGCCAACAATTTTTTTATCCTACAAGAGCTTGGATGTCAGTTTTTTTATTCCCGGGATCATTCGGTGTTAGTTTCTTTATTTCGTGAGGGACGAGGTCGAATGACCATTGCGCAATCACTTCCTCATCGCTTTGTCCGAGGTTTTTCACTCGTCGTTCGTTTTTTTAATGAGATTATTCAAGGGCCGCTTGAGAAAAAAAACGGGAACCTATTCAGAATTCATTTGAATTTTTTTCCATGAAGGCAAATTAAATGTTCATCCGCCGCAACTCCGAACGTATTGGAGATAGCGCCAACTGACAGTAACCTTTTTTGTCAGGAATTCCATTGGCTACAAAAAAGGTCCCCATAAATAATGCCGTATCGCCTCTAGATCCCGAGATATCCCCGAAAAACTGAGGAGAGAATTGCTGCGCTGAAAAATCAATCCGATCGATTTTCGCTTTTGATTTTTCACCGATACCTCGGAAAGGACGGCACTGGCGAAATTTTTTGGTAATACCTTTCTTGTAGACCATGAAGAGAGCTACAAAAAAGGTCCTTACGATAATTTGCTATCTCCCCGAGGTGATGAGAGAGAAATGATAAATGAAAATAAGTGGGCGTTGTCCCCCTCGGAGTGACGATTTTTTCGCCATTTGACCTCTGGTTGTCGCGTTGCTCAAAGATAATTGAATCATCGTCGCTCATTCCGTCAATGAGCTACGTCTCAATGGAAGAAACAAGTTCAATTGCACGTGGGCGGCAGTACTTGAGCCCCTCATTATCCATTTTTTCTCATTTAATATCTGAAAGGTGCCCCCACAGCTGAGAAATAGTCTCTTCCGTTGGTTAGCCATCGGTCAGAGTTCAACGAATTCAAGAATTAGAATGAGCCCATCAAGATCGTATCCTCAGAATTCCGTAAGAATTGTCGGGAATTATTTATGCAGGCCTCAGCAAACTGAGATGCTGCCCCATTTCCTGGATTAACCACGGGGCTATGGGTTTTCTATTTTAATACACTTTTTTTTCCCCCCATCGCTCTCTTGCCAACGCAATGTGCCGCACTTATAACGCTAGGTCTTGAGTGATAATTATCAAACGAACACTTTTACGACCACTCGACAGTAAAAATTCAAATAATTCACATTTCTTCATACCGATTTATCAATTTTTTTCATAATTTCCCCAGGAAATGGAATATTGCAATAAAATCCAGGAAGATCGGTAAAAGAATATTGGGAAAATTAAAAAAAACATGTAATTACCCCAGTAATTAATGTTAAAGCCAGTCTACGGAGTACAAACCACGGGGTAAAATCGATGGGTTTTTATAGTCAATTCCGGATGTTTTCCTTTCGATCTATCGAATGAATCGGGTTGGGACACGATATGGCGTCGGTTTCTGGAGGATTTTTTAATAACCGCGTTGGGATGGGAAACGGGTCGACGTTTAATTCAATTTGAGATGAAATTACGTGTTGCTTCGGTGGAATTAATTATTTATCGGTTTTTTCAATGTTTCATCGCTCGTAAAACATGGAATACCGACGATTTCCATGAAACTTGGGTAATTAATGACGATTTTCTCATTATAAAAACAGTAAACGAATAAATGAATCTTGTTGTTTGTATTTATCCCGGGATGATTCAACGGTGTATCACAGCTGATGCATAACCCCGTAGAGTCAACACAGTCGCAAAAAGGTACGGAGGGAAAACCGGTTCGGTAAAACGGCGCCTGTGGGAACAAAGACGGGTTATTCGCGGGCGCTATTCCACGATATGTGACGTAACCAACGGTGACTAGTACATCGAGTCTGGGTATTCCCTCATACCCGAAACATTTTCCGAGATACCGATTTTTTTTTTTCAATATCCAAAACCGTAAAAAACTACGGGGCTCAACCGATTTTTTAAGTGCGCGCACGTTGACGGAATTGATCGCGAATATCTCGGAACCTGACGAACCGATTTCGACGATTCATCGCTCATATCAAAGGACTTGAAAAAATCTTCAAGATGACCCCAAATTTTTGAAAATACCCTCTACCAATCCCGAGATATTTACGTTAAAATGAGATGAGTAGGATTTAAAAAGTTTTGATGTTTTTTACAAAAATCGTTATCGATTTTTGAGATTAGGTAATCGATACGATAACAATTTTTTAATTGATCTAAACATCCGATTGAGTGACCAATAAATCGATTAAATTTTCGGATCCAAAGATTTCAAAAAGATGTCGCAATCGGAAAAGTCGAGAAGCCAAAAGCCTCCCCCTCAAAAATAAATAAAAAAAAACTAGATCCTGTGGGAACGGCTCCGCCCCCGTATTGTCCCATCCCCTAGACTCAGTTTTGAAAAGCAGGTTCGGAGCATCAGCTGTTCCTTCCGTAGGGTTTCAGAAAAGAGGGACGAAAAAAAAAATGAGGTACAAGACGCTGGAAACAGCTGGTCCTTGAGCACAAAAGACGGGGTGGGGACACCCCAAAACCCCTAAAACCATGGACTCCAGATTCTCCCCCCCCACCCCTCAAATAATAATCATCGCAAACTCACCCCCTAGAAAAATTCCTCCACCCCCTCCCCATCGGCGAAGCAATCGATTCGCGTATGGGAGGCGGAGGGTAAAATTGAATTGATGAAAATCGGAGTTAGTTTCCGGGTAACGAAGGGGTTGCCGAGACAATAGGCGAGGACTGGTGGGTTGGACAAATCGATAAAATTTATCTTGAATTTAAATTCAAGGGGATGAAATAGCTAAATAATGAGTTATTCTCACCTAGACCCATTTTCTTCTTTAATTTCTTGAGGACCTTCATTTTGCTCCTCAATGGTGCTAGGATATTGCTGTCGGGTGGATTTCCTTTGCCACTGGGAGAGGGTAAATCTCCCTCGAAGCCCTCCTTATCACCCCGATAATTCCTCCGATTGTGTGATAACAAAACGGTGGGTCCGTCACTTGAAACACGACTGCAGCAGTGACAGGAATGGCTTTTGCCGCCGGTACCTTTGACGGCGCAATCTCCGCCTACCACCCCCATAAATATGACCGGATAACAAGTACTGAATAAAAATGCGCTCGATTATAACCCGATTTATCGAGTTTGATTATTGATAGTTGCACAACACGATTATTTCAATCACTTGATCACTTTGAGAACGAGTGGATGATCTGTAAACACGTGAGGGGATGATTATTTTTTTAGAGTTGGGGAGAGATGGGACTGCTCATGCGAGGAGCACCCAGGGTCGACTGAGCATCCTGACGACGTGCACCGGAGTTTTGGAGGCGCGCGCGAGCCGTCCGCCAATCGGGGCTGATCGTTTGTCGGGTGGGGAGAGATGAAACGCGCGCACCCGCGCACGCGCACGCTGTGGAAGAGGGGAGGGGCAGGGGCATAAGGGGAGTAATCGGGCACCTGGTGGACAGCTGCCCCTTACCTGAGCCAAGGGGGCTCTGCACCCGGCCTGGGGGACTGCACAGGGCTTTTTCACGGACCTCGGGGATTCTGCGGGATACGATGGTTCTTCGGGGGAAACGGGGAACGGGTTTTTCGGAGGGGAGATATTTTTTTGTTTTGAAATTTTGGATTTTGGGCCAAGTCCAATTTGCATGCGGATTTTTATTTTTATTTCAAGATCAATTTGAATTTTTTTAATTAAAATTTTTTTTTTTCTTTGAACTTTGGAGGGACTGCGAGATTGACTACTTTTTCAAGGCCACAAGTTTTTATAAAGGGATTTTTTTTTATTCTCGAATTTCAATTTCTTCAGTTTGAACTTTTATCCGGAAATATGATTTTTTTTTCAGGTGAATTTTAGAGTTTTATTGAGAAAATTCGGTTTAATGGAATTAAAAAATTTTTGATTGAAGATTTTTTGTAATTCAATAATTTATTCATTTTTCGAGATGAATTACTGGGGGAATTTCAAGATTTCCAAAATTATCGAAGATCGGCAAGTGAAGGATTCTCTTTTAGATTTTGGGGCTTGAAAATTATAAATCATAAATTTTTTCAACTTGAATTTTTGAGAGAATTTCTAATTATATGGTGAACAGAGTATCTGAGTTTTATTCCCAGCATAAAAGTACCCCCATAAACCGATGATTTGACGATTAACGATTCTGAGATCCTCCGATTTTATTCCGACATTAATTTTGATGAGTTTTTTATTAGAATTGTTGAGGGCTCGTTAAACGATCATCAGATTTGAATGCAAGGGGTTCCGAATGGGTTGAAGGGCCCATACAGGTACCACCATCCTTTTTCCATAACAAATCCCGGATTATAATAATATTCGGGCATTTGTTAGTTGATAGGACTTTAGGTGGGTCTCAAGGCCCGACCATTTTAGTTTCAACTCCGGGAGATACTCTATGCGGGTGGGAATCCCACGCGGAAAACTTTTAAATATAAAAAAAATCTCTCCAATTATCATTACCCATTTTTCCACACAACATTTCAAACACCTAATTATAAATTAGAAAATCCCCAGAACAATCTCTTAACACATTTAAAATAATTATATTGTTTATAAATAGAAAAAGTTCATAAAATCGACGGATGCAATATATTTTTAAACAACATTGTATAATAATTTAAATTCAATTTTCATAATTTTAATCGCATCTCAAGATTTATAATTAATCAATCAAATCATTGAAGTTAATTTAAAATTATCAATAGAATCATCAATTGAAAAAGCTCCGCGAAATTCAAACAAATCTATCGAATAAATCGATCGAATGAAATTCTGGAAAAATGGGTAAAATTGCAGGAAGACGATTTCTTATTGCGAATTACGTAAATTGTTTCATAATTACCGATTATTTCTCTCGGAAATGTACGAGGAATGGAAAACCCCACGGAGTGGCCACGTGTTACATATATATATTTTTTTTTCTCGTTGTTTTTAGAATAGAAAAATTCATACTGGGAGATTTAACGATGGCCGTGGGGTCTTTGGATACGCCCGATGGGAAGTATGTGCACAGTACCGTGGAACCTTGTTTCCTTTTCCGAGGTGAATGGTATCCTATGAAAACGCATCCTCCTTGCGTAACACAGTTATCTTTGTTGAAATTGTATTGAGTGCACCCTTGTACAGCTATACACCATTATTTAACACTGGAAAATTCACATTTATTGTTCCCCCACGTAAACAATTACATGTGCGATTATTTTTACGTAATTAATCTAATTAAAATCATAACAACGAGACGTCACTTG